TCAGCCGGTGATGCTAAAGTCGTACCTGAATAGGAATCGAATTGTTCATCCTCATCATCCGATTCTTTGGATTTTATGTTTCCCCGACCGTTTGGTGTTAATAGATAATTCCGGGGTGTTTGAAGAAATTTCGAATCACCATATATTGAACTTCCCCTCGACCGATCAACATCAACATGTAATCCTTTTACTCCATCTTTGTTCGATGAATATGGTCGTCGTGGTGTAACAGGAGATCGACAACTTATGTCGAAACTATTTCGTAAAGGTGTTGATGCTATCGATATAGCGTCGCCGAGAAATGATCTCGACTGGGAGAATCCTCCCATTTGGATGGCTTATATGGAATGAAAGTATGAAATATTTATCGTAGAATTCGTAAGCAAATGGATATCATTGGATTATTGAAATTAGAGTACAGAACAAATTAGAATCACGGTTTTTGAGAAACTCATGTAGGAGATAATGAGCAAAAAAATGTCTCATAAAATTACGGACTAGAAATATAATTCATGAAGAAAAGCTTTGAAATCAAAGGGAGATGAGAAAATATGAGAGATGGGGAGTTCTTTTCTTAGATCAACTATGATACATGAACATACTCCTTGGCTTTATCCAAACAGAAAGTAGTGCCCAACTTCCTAGAACTAAAGATCAGCATAAATATAAACATATGCCTATTTGATCTCTCGAGAAAATTTCCCATTCTTCACAAGAACGAGACGTGTATAATGCTCAGCAGCAATCTGATATCCTAATCATCGACGGAATCCACTAAGATTTTCATTCTTTGAAACGACATGGAATCCTTGACCTCATGTTTTGACGTCTTGCTCTATTCTTTTCCCACTCATCATGTAGATATATAGAAGGGAAGAATACAGCCGTGGTTGATCAGACACCAGACGTCCGATGCTGAAACGACGTTAGTAATCCAATGAAAATTATGAAGCGGCAAGGATAAAGATCGGAACAAGCATTTTGCAATTCGTCAACCAAGGAATCGTAATGATATACGATCAATGAAAGCTTCGCCCTGGTTCAAGAAACTTTGGGCATCGCTTGGTTCAAAGCTCGAGGGGATTATCGATCGGATGGATGTCGTGAATGCCAAGTATCAATCCGGAAAGCAAATCAAGCCGATATTTCGTATTTGCTTTTGTCTGACAGATCACCTTATGTAGACGATGCATTTTCGTCATCGAGTTTCAACTCCAATCGATACTGATGCTTTGGTTGCGTAGCCATTCTCAATCATTGATCTTTTCCTTTCAAAAATCAAACATCGTCAATGAGATGATACCCAGTGATATCCAAACCCTCCCAAGAGGCACAATGATAGGGCATCCTTAAAAGGTCGCAAATGCTCAAAAGCTTGTCATGTGGAGAAAAGTTACAAGCTCGTTTGACGGCCCGAACACGGTATTTTTGAGGCTCCTGCTCCCCTACATCCAGTGGTTCTCTGCCGATCTTACGTTATTTAGCAGCATTGTGTCTCTGTGCTGATGTTGGCATTGTAAAGGGACAAACACTTTTCTAAGCCAATAGCTACTGATTGATGTATTTAAAATTAGATAAATTGATTAGAAAGAAGTGTATGATAAAATCAGAGAGAAAAAATGTCTACTAAATTATCTGGTTCAGTTTGCCGATAACTATATCATGTTATCGTACAAATAAGCGCTCGAGTATTTCTATTTCAACACTAAGTATTGAGGATTTCACTGTTTCACCAAGCCTAGTGACAAGCTCCATGCCAAGAATAGATCGGGTTTATTCAGCCTTGTTGTTATTAGTTCTTGTAGAGATCATATTGAGTGGTGAAAAACACCTTGCATGTCAAATATTGTGTTCATGAATTTGTAGTAACAAATCAACAACGCAAGTCCTAAAAACAAGACTCCACAACTCCATACCTATATTCTTTCCAATATGAAGTGTTGTAATTGGTCTCATATTCATCCATCCTAGGTTCAGATAACATCTCTTTCCTTGAGATCGTGGGCGATGAGATTATTGAAAATAAAAACAATTCCATGTGCCGTCTCTAAATTGCCCGAAAATGCGATTCCTGTCCATCATGATTCATCATTGCTAGTGACAACGCAGTTACCTCCCTATACCTTGAACTTGAAATATCATATCGGTGATAGCCCATAATCGTACCACTACTCACAATCTCGCAGCTCACCTGCCTCTTCTCTCCCTTGTCCCTCCAATCCCACGCAAAAGCCACCTCATCATACTTCTGCCAAACTCCTAGCATAATCATTACTTCCCACTCTCAATCCTTCCAATCTCACCCGTCTCTGTACTTCTATAGCCCCCCTCCGGGAACCAAATTTTCTCCAACACCCACTTTCCCTCATTCCCTCTATACCGCTCTCTCTCCTCAAAAAATGGCCTAAAAACCCCATCTACAATACGATCTGGAGACATTTTCCCCTCTTTCACTACTTCTCCTCCTACAATTGGTGCACCAACCAGGATTCCATTTGGCGCCATAACTTGTTGAAACATTTTCACAAGACATTGGCTTGCGCTTTTGGTGGCGCAGAGAGCGGAGATGTTAGGATCTGGGTATTTATCGAGCAAGCCACCGGGAACAAGGAAAAGAGGATGTTCGCCTTGGGGGATATGGGAAGTGTTGGCGTGATTCATGTACCATTGTCTGCAGAGTTGTTGTTAGTATTTTTTCTTCTGATGATCCAATTCTGATATTATGATGTACGTGAAAAAAACATACCCAGCAACCAAAGTTCCCATCGCCGTAATGTTAAAATCTTGCGTCAAAACCTCGGGTTTCAATTCCAAGATGGGACTCGGAGCTACGTGTGCAGCATTATAGCAAAGAACATCTACTTTTCCACCCACTTGTTCGGCAGCCCAGTCTAGAGCTTTATGGAGAGAAGATGGGATGCTAGCATCGCCGGGGTGGACGAGGACTTTGGGAGCTTTGGGGTTGAGATCATTGATTTCTGAGGCGAGAGAAAGAAGGGAGGAGTGATTGCGAGAGATGAGAATGATTTGCCAATTGTGAGAAGCGAGGTAGAGAGAGAGACTGCGGGACATGAGGGGGCCGGCGCCAATTACTATTATGGTGCGAGGTTGGAGAGATGTCATTTTGATGATGACCTGTAAGCTTCGAATTATTTGTGAGTTGTGAGTCCAATCGACTTGTGGATTGAAGGGAATTATGAATGACAGAGAGTGCTGGCGATCTCTATGCCGAGAAAAATATTCGGCAGGGAGATAACATCAAAGCTAGAAGATGAGATTGTGCCATAGAAGACATAATGAGGGGTAAACGCGGGGTAAATTCCAGAGAAAATTCCAAGAGAAGTGATTTGAAAGAGCTTCATCGAATGGTAAGAATAGTGAAAGAGCTCTCCAATTCATGTTAGGTGCAAATGCACTCATCTGATTCATCAGTCCGCAGCTTCGTCTTCCAATCGAACGCCGCAGCCTACTCAGCTAGCATGGCTAGTGTAACATCTTTCCATTCGAGGTAGCACACATGTGTACAGAATAGTAATGAGAACAACCGGAATGTAGAACAAAAAGTAAGATCCAACTTTGCCTAGACTCTACCACATAGTAAAATGAACAAAGAGCAGCTCGCCAACATTGAAAACATAAGATTCAATCCTCAGCAATTCGACTACATCTCCAAAACCCCGTCTCACAGGAATATTCGATATCGAACGACTCCTCCAATCAACAGCATTAAATCCAATCGAAATGGAATCCCATATTCCCTCTCTCTCAACAAAAACGATAGAACTACCATCGATATCAAACCCCCGCACGAATTCCAATTTCCTCACCTTCCACCATGTAACCAAATCCAAATAAACAAACTCAACAAACCGAGCACGATTTCAAGAAAAAAGTCATCTAATCGCTTCTCTATCCGATGCCGCGACCAATATACAAGTAAGTACTCAGCCAGCAGTAAGACAGAATATCAATTAACAATAATCGAATAAAAATACACACATCATGTACGTAAACTCCTCAATCCCTCATCCCGACTCCCAACTCCCAACTCCGCTTCAGCTGGACCAGGTTCCTCCTACTTCAGACACGCAACAAAACGCATTCCATTTTCCCTTCTTCATTCCCGTGATCTGAGATTATCCAATCACGTCTCATCACATCACGTCAGCTCAGGGAATTTATATGAGAAAACGTGGGATGGTGAAATACCTAGTAGCTCTGCTGACAGTCTGACGCCAAGACCTTCTTTCCTTTCCAAGGTTCCTCGAGTCACCCTTTTATCTTTTCAGGAGCTAGGGTGTTTGGAGATCTTGATGAGATGCGATGGCGTTGAGATATAATATGATATGCTAAGATGTATCTACATGGGGAGACAAGATAAGATATACAATTAAATCCTCCCCCTTTTTTATCTGAATGAAGGATGATTACTCGGATGAATAACACGATAAAGATCATGGATTCATTCATTTATTCATTTATTCATCCAGAGCTTTGGGTTCTGACTTGCTTACCCAGGTAAGCATACAAGTTAGCGCAAAATGCGGGAGTATAAATACCAAATAGGACGACCATGAATTTATCAATCTACAATCTACAAGTAAGCAAGTCATCATCCTCTTCATTATTATGAAGATTTACAGAAAAGCATCTATAAATACATAAATAACATAGAAATTCACGAAAAAAATCATGTGAAAATAATTAATTGATTAATTTTTATCGAGTAAATAAATGTCGACATAATCTATATTTGAAACTCTTCTTCTTTTTTCTCTTTCCACATAATCCACCTTTCATTCCTAGAAATATTGTCATGATATCTATCATTCAATTGAATCCCATCATACATACATGCATGCATGCATGCAGTACATCGAAGTAGAAGCGAATACACACACACACATAAAACATCAAGCTCATCACTCGGATACCTACCTAGTAATCATTACATTTGGTAGCCTCACCCCTTAGCTGCACCCCAATCCCCAAAAATCCCTCTACATAAAAGCCAAAGCAGATGCACCCATGGCACCCGCAAACACCCATCCTGCAACCCTCAATCCACTCGCATCTCCCTTCTTGGTACTCGACGCACTAGCTGCGCTTCCCGTCGCGGTTCCAGTGCTTGTTGCTGTTCCCGCACTAGCATCGACATCGAATCCACAAACGCCGGTTCCATTCATTTGGTAAGTAGGGAAAAGAACTCTTGGTTCTCCCTTGTCCATTTCGACGAAGAGCGTTCCGTTTTCACTTGCGATGTATGATGTACATGTGATGACTTCTGTCATGTTTGTTCCAGCGTCTGCGGCGCTGTTGATGGCGATGGTGTAAGCTCCTCCTTTAGAACCTTGGTTGGAAAGTACTGAGACAATTTGAACACCATTTGGTCCTTTACGTGTGGCGTATGTGGAATCGTCGCTGTGGAGTAGAATGGATGTGTTGGTGATGTAGTTTGAGTTGATGGAGATAGCGTGGTTACGGAGAGTATTGAGAGTAGCAGTCATAGTGTAGAGAGGAGCAGTTGTGCTTGGTTTACTTTCCCAGAGAGCTTGACGGTTGTATGGAGAATAGTTGCCTTGGAGATGCTGTTCTTGTCCATAGTAGTACTTGGGGATACCATCTGCGAGGATTGTGAAGGCCATTGCGTTGGCTGCGAGCTGTGTTGTGTTAGTATTTCGTTATGAGATGATGAATGGAGGAAACTTACAGTCTCATCATCATTGTAAGATGCAAAACGCGGTTGATCTTGATTCTCAATGAAATTGGCAAGATATTGTGGAGATTTGCACAAAGATCCCACACTCTTGACCATATCGACTAAACCGGACATCTTTCCAGCGGTAAAAGCCTGAATGGTTGTGAAATAAACTGGGTAGTTCTCCAATCCCTCTGTGTACTGTTGATATTTGCAAGTGAAAGCAGCATCACCATCATCTACTTCTCCCAATGGATACACACCGGCCGCCTCGACGAAATCTTGGAAGAAATCATATGTGATTTGCTTAGCACCATCGACTCGAATTCCATCAATGGAGTAATTGGCGACAAGCTCCTTAATCCAGGTTCCTAATGCAGCTGCAATGTCTTTGTTCTCTGTTTTGATATCTGGAGTTGCGACTCCGGTGTATCCCAACCAACAATTTTGATATTCTGTGACGTTTTGCCAATCGACGATTGGGCAGTATGAGTTGTATGATGCTTCATCGTTGAATGGAGCGGGTGAGAAAGCAGAATAATCGATCTTGGTTCCTGCTGTCATGTTGTGGTCTCCAATGTCAACAGCCATCTCACTAGCGACGACATCGACTAGGAGGTACATTTTTCTCTTGTGAAGTTCTGCACTTAGTTTCAACAAATCATCTGCTGAACCAAAGTTTGGATTGAGATCGTAAAGAGACTAGAATATCGATGTTAGAACTTTCCATGCTATCCCAATAGCAAGCCAATTGCATGCGAACAGAGAAAAGCTCTGCCAAGAGAAAACCTACAGTTTGCCAATATCCATGGAAAGCTTGTCCATAAATCGTCGTACTATTGATGTTCAAATTGACTGGACTTATTTGAATGGCGGTGAATCCCATGTTCTGGATATAATCCAGATTCTCCGTGATGCCATTCCAAGTACCTCCACAATAATTTGTGATATTACAAGGAGCATCGAAATCTGCAGATCGATGATATCTATCTGTGATAACCTGATAGATAGATCTCCCAGCCCAATCATCACTACTTGCAGCTTGAGATAAACCCGCGAAGAGGGGAACGAGTGGAATAAGTGAGTACTTCATCGTGATGTTGTGTAAAGCCGAGGGCAAAAGACTGTAACGAATGGAGGTACGGAATAAGAGTAAACTACTCGAAATACAAGTGCAATGCGTACGATACAAACAGAACGAGAGACTGAGTGTATGTATAAAACAAAAGATGTTGAAACAATCACCAACTCTTCAGTTATTTAAAAAAAGACGCAAAACAGAAAGAGTGTAGACAATTTCAAAATCAAAAGAAATCAGAACAAAAGGAAGAGCCAATATAAACCGAAATCAAACCCGATCTTTCCTACAAACCACATCCTACCCCAATTAAGATATCCATACTTTTCATGGTCCCCAAGTGTAAGTGTAAGGGTTGTGATATGGAATACGAGAAGTTAGGGTGAGCCACCCTGAGCCACCAGTCAGGAACAAGTCTCCTGATGATATCCGGACGGCATCAAGGCGTAGGAACTTTGGTGTGGATGATGAGTAAGGTTACATGCATGTATTGAGGATCTTTAACTAAAAGGGTACACTTAGAACTTCCAAGGTTACTTAGGACTTGCACATTTACTATACTTTGTATGAATATCCGAGGGGGTAACCATATGGGAAAGGAACACCGGTGAACGACAATTTCCTTTCCCCCTCGAGATGGAAAATAAATGATGTGAAGGAGATGAAGATATTAATTACAAAGATCACAAGACCTCGAAGCAGAGCAATACAACGCCCGATAAGAAATTGACTTTGCACATTAAAATTAAAATTTGAACAAAATAACAATAACAATAACAATAACAATAACAATAACAATAATATACCAAGTTAAAGTGACGCCCACAATGCGTACCGAAAATTCTATCTATCATCCGTGTTTTCGATAGCCAAGCCATCAACAAATGTTACTAAGTGTAGATCAACCATGCTGCATTAACGCGTCGAGCCGTCCACCTCTCTCATATCACCCCTCTCAGCCCTCTCTCGCCTCTCGGAACTTCTCTCCTCCACTCAATACCAGGAACAGCATTTGAATACGAGATTTCCGTCAAAGCAGCACTCCTACTTCTCGTACTGGACGGGTCAAAATAAAGTTAAGATCTAATGAAATGAACTCCTGGATGAAAGACCCCGTAAGAAGATTAAAAAGATTTCTGCTTCTGCAAACCGGACCGAAGAAATCTGATGTTATCTCTCGACATGTTGTTTGTGTGTTTCTGATACCGTTCGTTGTCAGGGATAAACACGAAAGGTGCGAGTTTGATGGATCGATATATAGTTTGATACCGTATTCAGAAAGTATCAGCAACTCCGCACCCTTTTTCATCGTGGGCTTGCATGTCTTCGAGTATAAGGCCTAGCATCGCCAATCAATCAATATTCAAAAAACCTATCTGAATCAAAATTGAACAAACATGGGCGAAATCCCAGACAAAAATTGTTCCAAATAAACAAATAAGCAATGCTTGGCGAAAAAGCTTGACCAACGCCACCATCCCCGGACAATTTTAAAATTGCGATGGGAAGGGATGAAAATGGGAAATGACGGTGTGCTTATGAGATACCGTTTGCAAGATCTGGGGAAGATGAGATGGTGTGGAAGGAAAGAGGTAAGGCTTCAAGGGATGAGGAGATTAGATTGTTGGTTGGTGACGCGTGGAAGGTTACATCTTGTCTATTCTATCATGGGTACCGGCAGACGGAAGGACTTGTGTCTACGATCGATATACAATTTTGAACCTTGAGCAAATTTTCTATGTAAGATCACCTGTGTATCGAGTTATATTTACTACGTCCAAATCGGGCTTCAGAAGTGATCGAAACTAAAGAAAAGGGAAGTATAGCGACTTTGTTCCCTCAGAGCTCAACTTCCAAATGATTTCTCCCCGTCAAATTCCCCATCATCTCTCTGACCTCTGTTACTCTTCCTACTACACTTTCGAGTCCTCCTCATTGCCCCATACACTCATTAACAACGCCATCAACAAACCCATCAATACCCCCAAGATCACACCTCTCCATTCCCCCTTCACAATTCTCTTCCCCCAAAACATTGTTTCATCAACTTTGACTCTTATAACACTATTCCCCAGTCTCTGTTTCCGTGCACTCTTCAATCCAGGTAGCGCATCATGTGAGTAACTGTTGTTCAACAATTGGTAATTCTGCATCTCGTTTTTCTCTACTTTTTGACCGGCCCAGTGCCCGAGAGTTTTGCGATAGGTCCAGGGACCGGAGGACGGATCATCAATTTGAACAGGAAGCGGTGTGAGGAGGGGGACGCCGTAGCCGCAAGAAGTCTGGACCTGAGGTTCCTGTCAATAATCTTTTCTTTTGGATGTCTCCCATTTGTCTCGAACACTCTATTTCTTGAAGTCAAGAGCAGAATTCTGTTGCGCTGAATCATAAGATGCATTCATGAGAATCAAGGGAAGAAAAAAGAAAACATACCTTCCAAACATCCAACAAGATCACAGCTCTCGCACCATCCACATTCGAATTTCCTATTTTAGCCAGTAGAGGTGCGAATTCGGGTGTATTCCATTCAACTACATGTCCCGTGCAGAAAAATCGCATGATGCGGGGAGTAGAGGTGAAAGAACAGAACATGATTGTTACGCGACTGTTCTCTTGGAGGAAGTTAGTGTGGAGATGGAAAAGTAGGGAATTAGGTTATTGTGGGAGGAGGACAAGGTAGAGAGTAAGGGATATGAATGGACGAACCATAGATATGGCTAATAGTCTCGACTCCCGAACCGGTTGCATCGATACTGTGAGAGCATCAGAACTGTCATCCCAAAACTGGAAGTCCGCGTAGAGCAACAGTGACGATACCAAAGGTGTATGAAATTGACGAATAGAAGAAACATCACAATACAGATTTCAGACGGTAAAAAGAAGGACAATTACGGCATGTCCTACCAAGATCGATGACCACTACAGCCACACGTCATGGCAGCGCTCCGGATGTTCGTACTTCCCACTTCCCCATCACGAAACCCGAAATATCATCCTATATTTCACCTCGACGACGTCCTTTATCAACACATCACTCCCAAACCCCAACAATATCATAACAACGCGGAAAAGAAACATTAAAATGAAGCAAAAACTCACTAAGCACAACTATTCGGTCCCAGAATCTTAAACGTCGCATCGCTAATCACCAAAATATCAGTTAACATTATCTCTTCCCTCTTTCCTTCTCTACTTTCCAACTCCCTCATTTCATCATCCACAACCCCCCGAAAACAAACCAACTTAAAAAAAAACACCACTCACGGCAACCCCTTCGGACTGAGATTAACATGCTTCCCAAACGTCGGCGCCGACCCCGTAAAGAAAACCGGTTGAGCCATGGCCCAATCCGCCAATTCTGGAGAGATGGATGGGAAGTATTTGACCATTTCTCTTGATTGTGACTTCTATTTTCTTTAGTTCTTTGTATTTCGAAACTGAGGAACAGAGGAAGAATGCCAAAGACAATTGAGTAAATGAAAATTCGAGGGTTTCGGTCAGATGGATGAGGAATTTATATGTATATGTATATGTATATATGTAAGTAGGATGAGTGATGTATACGATTGATTCCCTCAGAAAGATAATGCAATTCTACAAGTGCATACACAAGAGAAAGTCAGATTCGAACAAAAGAATTTCCAACAATACAATTGATGTCGAACAAAAGAGACACATCTATCCATCCATCAACCTGAGTCACAGAGTAAGAACGACGCGGTTGTGCGGGGTAGGTAGGTATTAGCACCACGCATAGACACATCAAAAGTCCCCGAATTTCCTAGATATTCAATTGGAGGCCCTTTGCTTTACATGCTTGGCGGTGAACTGATCCATTCCTGTAATTTCACATGTTTTCCACAAGCTATGACTTTGAAAATTTAAAAATGCAACGACTCGAATTCGTATCATCATCTTATATGCTTATGCTACGCTTCATATACCATGCCATGCATTTCTTAAACCATCTCTCATCAACTCATCACTCATAAGGTCTAAGATCCATAGATACCTTTCATTCCACACCTATTCCGTGTCAAATAGCCAGATCAGGCCGAGCCAAACCCATCATCTCGATTTAGATTTAAAAAAACAAAAGACAGAAACCAGATTCAACTAATCTTGTACAGGGGTAATGTGACCAAACAGACGCCTTCATAAAATGCCGACCTTTAAAAAACAAACGCCTAAGTGGATATCCAGTATACATCTTCTGAAGTTGGAGAATGTATCGACAGTAAAGAACGCGTGGTATAATTAGAGGAAGTAATCTCCAGCACCTCTCCGACCGGCTGGAACTGCACGTTGATCTTCTGGTACGGCACTGAAAATGCTGAATTTAGGATTGAGATCTTCTCCAACGTTCATAATTGAAGCGACGTTGCCACATCGGTAACAGTAGTTAGGAGCTGACCAGACAGTAACGACAGATTTTTGTGCGAAATGATACTGAAAAATGTTAGCATATCTCTGTTCTCATCTTAGCAGGTAAAATAACATACCTTGTATCCTTCATTGACAAGTTGATGAGCACGAGCAATAAGCTTCAAACCATTGACATGATTGAATTCATTGGCAACCTTGTCTCCAAATAGCCATCCAGCCCCGCGAGGAGAAACAGCCCAAGTATCAACATCCTCAGGATCACTCCATACCAAATCACAGAAAGCACCCTCATGAGGAATTTCTTGAGCACGTGCAACAACTCTGATTTGATCAACAGTACGAATTTCTGGACTCAAACCACCATGGACGCAAAGAACTTCTCCATCAACAACTGCTGCAAGCACGAGGAAGTCGAAAACCTGACAACAAGATTTCCAAACCGAAGCATTACCGTATTTTTGTTGACATTCTTCGTAGAACCCATATACTTGCGTGATTTGACGAGATTCGTGATTTCCGCGAACAAGAGTAATCTTATCAGGATATCTAATATCGTTAGAAATGGGTCAGACTTAATGAAGTGATTCACTTACGTAGCTTTCAAGCACATAAGTAATGTGAAAGTTTCCAGACTGAAATATCCTCTATCGACGAAATCACCCAAGAAGATAAAATTTTGGTTCCCATTTCCAGAGACTTGATTATTGTTGACATTAATCCCGGAATCTGCTCCAGAACTCGTACTGCGATTTGATCCACCTGCAGTGCGTGGTCGTCCTCGAGGTTCATCATCGTCATCATCATCATCGCCTCCACTTGCGCTTTCCACACCACTGTCACTACTTCGTATCTTCTTCTTCAATTTTGGATCTGTAATTTCAGTAGGTGGTTCGAGCGCATCCGTGTTGATCACAGTGGTGGGGGCTTGAACATTTGTCTCGCCCGGCATACCACCAGCAATACGGAAGAGTTCAAGTAAATCGTAAAATTGTCCATGGATATCACCACAAATGGTAACAGGGGTTGCGACAGGCTGTATATTTGACTCTGTTGAGGGATGGATCAGTACGAGAAGATACAAAATGATGATTCAGAAGGATATTACCTTCCATCAAGCACTCCTTTACCATTTCACAAAGTTGTTTCATTGCCCACTCTGGTAGATAATGACATTGTTTCGCCTCTGCTAACCACTCCTCCAGACCGGAACGAGGTCCCAGTTTCGCAGCTCCAGGGCGGGGTACCGTAGGACTCATATTGTGTATTCTGATAAGGTGATGGCGAAGTCTTGAGCTTCCTTTTGGATGGGTGAACAAGTAGGATCAAATTGTGACCTAAAATTTCTCGACTTTAGGAGAGTTGAGTCTGTTCCTGAATCCTCTTTGAGCTGTGCCGGGTTTTCTAAAATCGTCTCGAGTTTGCAGGTATATCTTGTTGGTACGGATGCTTTTTCAACAATTCTCACTCTGGAATTGTCGCAATTGGTTTGTTGAATGCCCTCTTGAAAGTTGATATTGGCTTTCTGGGAGTTGTCGTAATCGTCTTGATGAGATTGTTCGTAATCCTCCTGATAGAATACCTCTTCAACTGCCTCATCTGAGAGTGTACTTGGAATCATGCTGCGCTATGCCTGATATCGTATTATAACCGAAGAAGTTGACATAGATTATGTGAATGGTGACCGTATTCTCGGTGGTTAGGCTTTCCGACCCAAGGGCATTCATTCCCTTAGAATTGATGCCCCACGTTTTTAACCTTATCAGCAATCACATATTCGAGTATAATAATGCTATTGCCTACTTGCACAAACATAATATAAGTCAGTTGGCGACTTTTCCAACAGATGGGCGTCGCAATTCTTTACATCAGTGTGCTTCTCATGAATCTGCGAGCCCGTACAGATTAGAGAACGTGAATATCAATTGTTCGGACCCACAGGCCCCAGATCATTCGGCGCAATAATCTGATGGAAAGTCGACCTCAAAGTTTCATCCGTTATACAACTACCATTCAGAATGGCTACCACAGCAGGATCCCGCAATAATACCAATGGTGTTCTTTCTCTTACAACTACTCAGACATCGGGAAATGCATCCAAACAATCTGCTAGCAAGCCAGCAAGTTCCAAAACGAAACTCATTGTGCGCAGACTGGCTCCCGGATTGACTGAGACTGAATTCTGCTCATTACTCGGTGACGAATGGAAGGTAGGGCAAGGGAAGGTTGATTGGTTTCAATACAAACCAGGAAAGGATTCTAAAGAGTATGTTCTTCCGCGAAGACTGCGCCGACATTACTTACAAACACATACAGCCCTTCCAAACCATCACGCCCCTCTCGAGCATATCTTCACTTGACCAATAGTGACCATCTTTTGCCATTCTCCGACGTTGTGCGAAAATCGAGTTTTGAAGATGCAAAAAATACATACACAAATTCTTGTCTTATTGGACCACCCACTGTAGAATTTGCGCCTTACAGCAGAGTCCCTGCAGGTCTCAAACGTCGTACTGATGCCCGGGCTGGAACAATCGATCAAGATCCAGAATTCATGGCATTTTTGGAAGGTTTGGCCAATCCAGTTACTACAAAAGAAGTTGACGCAGAGGGCGAAGATCCCCCAACAGGCAAGGCCGAGAAAGTCACAGTGACTCCCTTGGTTCAATTCTTGAAAGACAAGAAGGCCAATAAAACGAAGGAATCGGCAGCCAAAGCAGCAAAGAAGCAGGAAACATCAAAGTCCAAGACGAGTGAGGGATCGAATTCTACAGGTGATGGGAAGAAGTCCAACAAGGAATCCAAATCCGACAAAGTTGCGGCCACACAAGAAGCTGTCAAGATTTTGAATAGGGAAGCTGGCAAGAGAACAGCAGCTGCATCAACCTTATCGGCAGCCTCCGCATCTTCTCAATCTACAGCTGAAAAGAATGTACCTAAGCTTGATACTTCTAAAATTCCTGCAAATGAAAGACAAGCCGTTGTCGCTGCTCACGTTCGTATGCTTCGACGTGATCTCGGACTCAATCCTTCGCAGGCGCATCGTCGCATCAAACGCGATACAGCTAGTGCAGTAAAGGCGGAGTCTACTGAAAAGCCCACCACAAATTCTAACAACAACGCGTCTTCCCCAGCTACTCCTACAACACCTACAGGTCCAAAAGTTCCTCCCGCTCAGCCTAGCGCTCAAGCAGGTGGCCGAAGATCTAGGAGAGGTAACCAAAATCACAATACCGAATCGTCTACCAATAAGCCATCAACTACCACTACTTCTGCCCCAACCACACCTATGGTTTTGCTAAGAAAGCCCGATAATCAAAGACCCCAGCAACGGCCAAGTACCGCCACTTCTCAGCCTTCATCTACTCCCCAAGTTCAATCCAAGCCAACTCCAAAAGTTACTCCAGCCACTTCAGCTACGGTACCATCTCAACAGGCTACTTCAAACCGAGGGTCAAAAGCTCAGGTCGATGTTTCATCCAAAATTTCCCGACAAGCTTTCATCAAACATGCCAATCCGTCTCAAGGTGTGACCGAAGCATTGCTAAAAGAAGCGTTAGAGAAGTTTGGCAAAGTCTCCATGGTTGAGATAGACAAAAAGAAAGGCTTTGCATATGCCGATTTTGAAGATGCAGAAGGTTTAAAGAAGGCAATGGCTGCGAATCCAGTTTCCGTGGCTCAAGGCACCGTTCACGTTATGCCACGAAAGGGGAATACCGCAAATCCTGTACCACGTGCTGGTCCGGCCCCAAGAGCACCTGCTCCGTCACCTGCTAATCCCGCTCCGCGTGGCGGTAGAGGTGGAACTATGGGTAGGAGGGGTGGTAGAAACGGAGGCGGAAGAGCTCGTGTGGACATTCCAGTCGCAGACTCGTCAAAATCTTCTTCAGCCGCGAACTCTTCGAAATCAACCCCAGTCACGCCTGCAGGATCAACTCCCAAGTGAAAACCACCTTATTCAGAATGATGGTTCAACAAATTCTTGAAGAGTAGTTAGCAATGGTTCGCCAATCTATGGAAAACATAAGCCACCGTCGGAAACACGAGACTTCCATGCATCACTGAAAGTATCTATCAATATACCTCAGAGTTATAAAAGCCTACGGATAACATTCAAAACAGCACCTAGATTTATTCTCAGCTTGTCCAATTTTGGTCTGAAGCTCAAAGGGATGGGATTATGTGTAGAAGAAGCATAATTAACAAGCATGCGCGCAAGGCCATACGAGGTGGCGAGAGGGGAGAGCTAGGAAGTATTGATTCCGCGGCGGTAGGAGGGTTTGACAATAATACGAATACACGACTCCCCAAATAGGGTAACGTGTCTGATCTAGTATTACGTAGCAAAATTTTGAGATCACTCATTGATCCTTTTCTTATGGATGCATTCATTGACATACTTAACTCTTATGCTCAACAAAGCGAACCGTGTCATGTGAAGTGGCTACCGGCCAATGTATAACCTGCTCTTATCTGCTCGGTGTCATTGCCTGAACTTCTCACACTCCTTCCCGCTCTCAGCTCCCAATCCCGGAGCTGGCATGTTCGTATGCTACGCGAAGTTTTTCTCCTATATAACTCATTCGCCTCTAGTTTCTTTCTGTAGGTTGACAAATAAGTGGAAAACGTTCGAATCGATGATCATGTGGCCCGGCCCAAAATTGTAGGATGGTGCAAAGTTTTGTACTGGTTATGGTATGTAGACTCTGAGGGTGCTCGATTATCTGATGTATAAGTTTAATTTTTGTCATCTAGTTATATTTTTGTTGTCATTGGTATTCTTGTTGCAGTTTTACCTCATACTGTCGTCTGGTAATTTTGAATAACACTAGGTAGAGTTTCCTCTGGGACCAAGAAGTGGCAAAATTAGTGTCTTCATATTGTTAGAGGAAACGTGAATCAATAGCCACAGCCTACATTCGTATATCATATGTCTGACTTCGGAAGTGTTTGCATCTGGATTGAGGATCTTATGAGCCTTTTTAAGGGAATCATATGAGAAACAAGATTGCCCACAGTGTGTAGCTGGTAGTGAATCATCTTGTGCTATTTTTCTTGTGATGAGGGCCCCGTTAGATGTTTCGTGGGTGCGGAGTGGGAAAGGGGGGGGTAGGTGAATTTGATATTCTTTGGGGAGTAAGGAGTGTTTAGAGTGCGTTCCGCTAGTATATAAGGGCTGTAAAATCGGGATATGGAAACTGCAACATAACATGGGAATTCTTTCAACATGAGATTGATGGGGTACGACGAACAGATTGTTCTTTCGGCCAGAATCATCTTTCGTAGTCCTGATTAAGAATGTTTGACTAAGAGATATCAGGATTCTCAGTGAAAAATTGAAAATTCAGTGAACACTGTTGATGGACCGATGCTGTCGTCTTTTCATTTGAGCTCTTATTGACGATGATTTGTTGTCATTTTATCTTACCTATTGTTGCATCGGGCATTGAAAGATGTATATTTATTCTAAAAAAAAGCGGATAATTTGAGAAGGTCTTTCGGGGGGAGGAATTAGTTGGCAGATTTGCACAAGTGGATTATGAAGCCTTGTCTTCTACTCGCTGCGAAATTGATGATTCATTGGCCGGTTATGAGAGCAGAAGACCTGGCTTATAAGTACGGGAGAATGGAAGTTATTGATACTTCAGGAGTGTGTCTTGACTAGGTAGGAAGTGAATCATTCGTAAAGACTTTAAAATGTAGTGTGACTTGTGTTATTCATTCACCACCATCCTGTGCGGGGTCCTCTTAAACCATCTCTGCGGATTGGGAAGCACATCTTCGGGGTGCTATATAAAGACTCTGCATTGAAAGGTGAATTGAAGTCTACGTTTTAAAGAGTGGATCAATTCCCGGCAAGGACGCGAATTGCAACGAATATCAAAGTTTGGAATTGGAAATTATTGCGAGTACGAAGCCATGCAGGTTCGGCTGATAGTCAGTTAATTGGAAGAGTCAATACCTAGTGAGGACTTCACAACCTTGCGAATACCCAATAACTCAGCAATAATGCTAGATCCAGATCAAAATGTTCTCTTTGCTCAACTAGACCGAGACTCCAATTTTTTTTAATTTATGGCCCCTAAATATCAAGAAATATCAACTTCTACTTACGAAGACGACATTGCCCCCCCACCTAGCCCTCTAGTCTTTCAAAATTTGAGGTGCATCTTCACATTAAATGTTCCTGCGGAAGCATACGATTCCAGAATCCTCATTGATGTCAGGAACGAACGGAAAGGATCATGAAATAGTCATCTGGATGGTTCGATACCTCGGACGCTACATCGATATAGAACAATAACCATGTAGTATACTTATACCCTACCTGAGAAATTATCGTCTGTCATTGTGCATGCATGGATATATGATAGGTCGTCGCGCCCTGATTGGAGTCTCTGTACTTCCTATAGAATTTTCTCGTCTGAATTTTGCTGCTCTTCATTGTGTCATTTTAAACATCTTTCTGCTTCATTTCAAGGGCTCATGCATGTAAACAGATTCGGAATAAAATTGGCAGACGGTGTGGGTATGCGACAGGCTTGTATCTAAACTCCCAAGATACCAGATAGGCCATTTTCTAGGAGACCATAGATACAACCACCAGATTGCATCCCTAAGCAAATGTGAGTCCTAGCTGATTGTTTTGTCATTGGAGCTGACTTGACGTTCAATGGCCACGAAATTGGTGTCTTGCTTATGTCATCACTTACTTAAGCTTTAGACATTTCCCAGTTCAATGACCAACTTTTTCTAAATGTAGAGATTTAGTCAACATTGCTTGATGATTCTGCATCGTCCTTGTGAGATTCCAGTTCGATTTATTCTCGGAGGATGGCCCTCTTTTCAATGTCTAAAAATCCAGCTTTCGAAAAATGTGTTGTGCCAGCAGAAAGCTTTATGACTCCGTGGCCATATTCAAAATGATTAACTTTTGGCTAGTAAGATCGAATCAGACCGTCATAGTAATCCCATCGTCGGCATCGATGTAAGTTTGGACCTTGATGAACTTTTATATCATTTCATCCGAAACAAAAACCAAGAACCTCGGTATGACAAGAAAAGACCCGCTTTCGAGCCGGCGATACGTACGTATCGGGAGTGTCACCAAACTAGGGCAAACCCGTTGCTCAACAAATTCGCAATTCTTCAACATGAGGATCCCCTGAGCAAGAGTGCCGCGTTGGCAGTCTTGGTTGGCCTGGTTTTGAAAAGTTTTTTTGCACATTTGCCCAGTCGGCGGATTCGCGGGATGATATAAACTTTTAGTGAAAGATTTATCATTCAGCAAATTTCATCCTCTTTCATTTCTATTCTTCGTTCAAATTTTTTTGATGTATTAGAATCTCCAATTGCGATGGCAAGTGCAACAAAAATGGTACAACCAAAACCCCTCTCTGCTTTCAATAGACTATCACCCTGCGTCTATTTATACTCACCTACCACTACCACCGCACCACCTGCATCTGATCCATCAACTATCCTTCTTTGCAGCTGGAACAATGCCGCTCCAAAGCATATCTCCTACTACACCAACTACTATACCAATCTCTTCCCTCTCTCCCGTATCGTCCTCTGCACTATGAAGACTTCTCAGTTTCTTCTCCAGTCCGAAGCTCGACGACGAAAAGACGCCGCTCCTGCTATTGATGCTTTATTTTCTGAATCATCAGATCAAGAGGCGAGGTTATTAGTCCATTGCATTAGCAATGGAGGTGCTAAACGATTTTACGGAATTGCCGGGTTATATCAATCTTTGAAAGGAAAACCGCTTCCTATATCCAGCATCGTATATGATTCTTGTCCATCCCTTCCGTGGTTTAAGCGAGATTTGCACGCGCTTCTCCATGTGCCTGGAGCCAAACTGCCTTGGTTGTTATATATACCCCTAGCAGTCGTTGCGATTATAGCTGCATCAATAGTGTACTTTATCGTACATTTTTGTCCACATTGGGTGTGGAGAGATTTGGTGAGGGGACCATTGGAGGGTTTGAATGATGAGAGGCTGGTAAGGAAGGAAGCTACTAGGGGGTATATCTATAGCGAGGAAGATGATGTCATTGAGTGGAAAGATGTCGAAGAGCATGGAGAAGCAGGTACTCTGAAAGGGTATAGGGTTGAGAGGATCAAGATGGTTGGAGGAAAGCATGCGCAAATGTTCAGAGGCGAAGGAGGTGAGGATGCTTACTGGGGGTTTGTGAGGAAGCTGTGGGTGGATGGATTGAAGGAGGTCTGAACGATACATGTGTCTCGAGATGCTTGTTAGAGCGCATCAAGTTTTGTTAGTATTTTTGTTGCAAGTGGATCGTAAAATCTACACTTCCTAGCAATATTTTGAGAGCATGGTGATTGTAGAATACTTGATCCCCGCAAATATTAAAATGAAATATCGAGAAATCTTAGGATGCATTAGACTGGAAACTACATCGTTTTCAAGGTGCTTTTTGGTCTTGGAGGCTGCTCAACGCTCGAAAATTCCATTGATGCTTCTGACATCTTAGCTCAGAGATTCCCTAACAAATTCTCGCGTAGCTCCTTTGGCTTCTTGGTCCAATCAAGAGTATCGTTGCTCAAACTTACACGTGCACCCGGGTAAAAAGAGAACTCGCCATTTAGACTTTAGATGGAAACTTCAGGGGACAAACAGGATACATAGACTCACCGCCTACTAATATGCAAAACTGCTGCGAAAATCTCCATCTGGGCAAAATTCATACTATTTCTAATCCGCACGCTCTTAGCCCGCATCAAGGTACCGGCATTGGTAATGTGGAATAGCGGTAACAAGGTCGGCTTTAATGGCTTTAGCTGGCTTCCCCGCATGCTAAGACGAGCCTCTGTAAGAAAGCTTCAGTCTACATGATGACCGCTTGCGGCCGCATCTCCTAGAGTCCTACAGTATATAGGATGACAAGATGCCGCCACAATGCGCAACCATTAATAATCTGCATAGCATAGGATACAGAATCACCGCATCTCATCCGAGACTCAGCGTTTGTTTTGCATAACTAGCCGCTTGACCGCTAGACATATACGAGGTTCAAGTGGGATAGATCTTCACACTGGGAAGCCGGTGAGTGATCGGAAAAGAAGTATTTTATGTATGTATGTAAGATTCAAAATCCCGTGTCTGCGTTGTTGTGCTGTCGGTGCATTGAGGGATTTATGCAATCGTTGCGTGTGCCTTGCTTGTACATAATTATTGTTCAGTCACGTGCGACTTGTGCCAAGTTTTCGGACTGGTGTCCGACGTGCTGAGAAAAGAGTACGGCCTCATCCATCCATCCACCTCCCACGTTTGCAGAATTAGCATGTCAAGATGTTCTTTGTTTGGCAACCGTTTGGTCCGCGAGTTTGATTGAATCGGTTCGTGCCCAATATAACGAGTTCCCAGCAAACGATGGTTCTCGCACTCACTCAACGTCAAATGAAAGCTCTTCCCTAGCATAGGAAGCGTCATCACATATTTCGAAACATTCTAATTCTAATCATCATCACATCCGAGTGTTGCATTCATCTAGCCTTCACAAACTCTGCCTTGCAGAGATCCGCTCCACTATACCACGTTTTCCATGCCTTTTCCGTGTGTTTTTTCATTGTTCCAGCCACTGAGTTCATTATCAGCGACAGGGTCTGGATGACTTCGCCGCATTTCCAGCCATATTCTCAAGCCATCAAACCATTAGATGTTCCTCCAATAACGTTACGATTGCATCGTGACGAAAGACCAACATGTGGCTGAAAGATTTAGGATTTATCTCGTGAAGTGGCTAGTTTGGAAAGTTCTGAATGTGGAATGATGCTATGGGAAATCTGACATCAGCATTTTGCACTTTGAGAAGCCAAGCTTCCCTGGGAAATTGTTTTGCAAGACATTGTTCAAATGATATCGGGTCTTTCGAAAATGATTATGCCTCAGCCTTATATTTGGGGGCCGCACAGCCACTCCACATTGTAGTGGTTGAGAGGCTCGAAAGTTGGTCACACAGCAGGTTATGCTCTGACACTTTTCGTTTTGAGTCAAAGTTATCGAAAAAGCGTTATTGGATATGGTAAAGCTTTGGTTCCCGCAAGTTTACAGGAGGGGTAAAATCCCCTGAGCGAAACATTTATCCTTGGACAGCTGAGTGGCTCGTACTTTGGGAAGCTTTGTACGACAGGAGTTGTGTTTCTGTATGGGGGAGGAGACAATTGTTGGGTATGCATGATTTTCTGCATGGAGGGGCAGTGGAACAATTGACAAGAGAATAGGCACTACAAGGCAAGTGAGACTTTTTTCCTTTACCATGTCCCTTGTCCCTGATTTTAGACGTTTCACTGAAGATGTGGCGAGGAGTTCCTATTAAATGGACTTACATATGACACACAGACGGCTAAATCGCTTTGTCAGGCATGAATCAGATCGGATAAGATGCAAAATGAAGTAATCCAAACGAGGAGGCGTTTCTCTATCTCGGCCTTCACAATCCATGAAAAAGAATTGACGCCGAAGCCGCGAATTTCTTCTACAATATTCCGAAATCCTCTGTCGTGTTTTCATAGCCTTGTTAATCTTGTTTTGGGGTTTCTATTCGGATCCAGATTGTGACAAAAGTATTATCGTCTTGCCACATGATGTTTCACAAGGCTGTGCGTAAATTCGATATTCTTGAGATGTGCTAGAGAAATTTTGCAATTTGCCTATGCCTGGTCTACTACGCGCGTGAGCTCTCTTGATGTAGGCAACTACACATATATTGTTAACCTCTCCCTTCTTATTGAACAATCCGAGAAGTGCATCATCCAATACTGTTTCTACACATACATATATACGCGCTTCTGAAGCTGGAGGTCATACTTACTTGCATATTCAGCCATTTCAATCAATTTTCAAATGAGGACCCGTTAAGCACATCAAGATCTGGTCGTTGTCAAATACAGTTAATCTCACATCTCAACTTTCACCAATTCACTGGGATACATCAAATATCCTTCTTCGTCTACTATTTGATCCCAGAATTCCCAAACCACAAAATCAAAATTCATAATATAAATGTCCTACGATCGTCCTCGCTCTCGCGGATTCTTCGAACGCGATCGTCACGGCCACGAACGCATCATTTTCCGCTCAAACTCAAACTCAAATTCTCATCGTCGCTCCACTTCCCAACCCCGCACCATGGTTCATGAATTAGCAAGCGATCTTGAAGATCGCAATGCTGAACTACAAGCTGTTGCAGAATCACTCAAAACAGAAATGGCAATTGCAGAGAGTAGGAACTGGCAACTGATTTCTGATAATAGTGCTTTACGAGATATCGTGCAGGTACTCAAGGGAGACAAAGAAATTCTGAGAAGAGAGAGTGAAGAGAAGAGTATAGATATCGAATACCTTGAAGAAACAGTTGCGAAATTGGAGGAGAGAGTTAGATTGATGAGAAGGGGTTTGACTGGGCGAGGAATTCTGAGTGAAGGGGGGTTGAAAGAAAGACTTGAGGATAAAGTTGGCGAGATCGAGAGGTTGAGCGAGTTACTCAAAGTTATGGATGATAAGCTTAGTGAGAGGAACCGGTGGTTGGCGGAGAAGGATAATAAGTTGGGTCAGTTGAAGAGGTGGATTGTGAGTAAGGGATTTCGTGTTGAGGGGGTTTGAATGGGGTTTCCAGTTGCGATATTGGATTCTAGATGCCAAGTCTATTTCACGATTTACGGTTTCAGATTCAACATCCAAGAAGATGTTGATGTTTTGCGTTTCAACGACAACGACAAGGAGGCGGATGTCCATGAACTTTTTTGGCGTTAACTTATACCAAGCACTGGGAATGACAGTACCAGAGAGGGCCACAGAACGTTCTTGTGCGGCGAATACTATGTACGTACTATACGCCACACCTATGCACCAACACTCACAGACTAATGATCCTTAGGAAGAACAACCAAAAAAAGAGGGGAGGATTTATTCACGATGCTGTTGAATGCTTTGATATTTTGATACCTTGTAGCTGCTTAGATTTAGTCTGCTTGTTTTTTATTCTTCAAAATGGATGTATTGAATTTAGTTTCTTGCACTTGCACTTGCCCTTGCCCTTGTACACTGGTCTAATTCTTGGTCGCCAGCTTTTAGTCTACTTCTGTTGGTTTGATCCCTTGAATGATGGAGATGGAATGATGGAGATGGAAAGATGATTGAACGTTCTCGAATGATATCGGCGCTTATTCATTGGTGCTTTTCCTTTAGTTTTAAATCCTATACACAGCGGCTTTATGTATGTACAATTGGAATGCAAAAATTTATGACTTCCCTTCTCGCTAATTGGCATATGCAAATGTACTCAACCCATTTCATGGTATAAGATATGTGAGTATCCGTGCCCTACCCAAAAGAGTCGCCTCGAAAGGGAAGCGAAAAAAAAAGGATGACCATTAGAGTTCAGATGAGGGGTCAAGAGGGGTTGCACAGTTCTGCCTCCGGGCTTCTACACATTGACGGCATGGACAGACGGGTCAATTAGGGTTGATTTGGGACCCTGCTTGAAGTTGCTGGTTATGTAATGTGACAGTTTGATATATGGGCTATGGATGTACAGAAAAGAATCATGGAGAGATACATACAAAAAGAAAAGAATAGATATCGTGGGGTTAGCTTCTAGTTTTTACAGAAACTTGTTCTGATTCACATGTCGACATTCCAGTGGCCGATTTTCCAGCGTCCATCCAGGAAATATAATGAACCACACACCGAGTACAAGTAATAGCTTCAAAGCATGTCATTATTCCTCCATCTAATTTTCATAAACGATAAACGATAAGAAATGCATTTCACTCGTCACACTTTCATTAATCGATGCATATTTGACGTCAAACTCGCGTCTCGGCAGTTTGCTAGTTTCCTGTCTAGGTCTCTTAGCATAGGTTACATCGCCATAGCCTATCGATTCGTGAAATCCAAAAAGACAATTGAGACTTTTGACACGTGAAAAATAGGCAGGACGGGGGTGCGAAAGGGGAAAAGGAGGGGGAAGAGTCATAAAAACTGTACGTGTTTTTATGTAGAGTCCCGTGCTATGGACGGATGGTTGGTTAATTGTTGGAAATGAGAAATTGGGGATGCAAAGATTGGTCGAGCAAGAGAAACGATTGAAGGCATACCGTGTGAGTAATTTGGAAAGTATTGGAGGGAGGGCTTTTGCATGTACAAACAAAAAACAATGAATTGTTCAATCGAAATGTACCCCTTCATGCAGCCACCCCGCATCACCACCTCACGCACCAACATGTTGTCTAATTCGCATGCCACTTTTCAATTTCCTTGTTTGATATTTTATGCGTACATAACTTTGTCATTACTCTTATTCATATCGTTGTTCCGTCCTTCCTTCCAATAAGTAAGAAACGAAAAATTTCCACTCTTTGAGGCTCAAGCCTTCTTAACTTTGTGTTCCAACTTCAAACCGTCCTACCCACAATACTAGCATCTGTAAGTACAACGTTGACCCAACTGACAATACTTTAATTCTTATCCTTGACACCTATTTTCTCAACACCCTAGATAAGATAATTCCGACCTTTGCCGAATTGGGCATTTCTAACCTAATCCGTATACAGTACTCGAGGTACCCAATAAGTTGTGCTTAAAAATCTACTCATTGATTAACAATCGAGGAATTTGATGTCAAGGAATAGGCACAGCCTAAATTTTATCCCTGGAAGAACCTATTAGCGGTCTGCCCTGGCGTTTTTTGACTAATTGCGAACGATTCTTGCGAATTCAAAATCCCGAAAGAAGAAAACGATTTAGACAAGGCTAGAGAAACATCTAAACACTGCCTCTTTCCTGGGGTCAAATGGGTTGTCAGAACAAGGGCTTGAATTTTCTCGATCGTTCGTTAACCAATCAGCGTGATTAGACGTGGAAAAAGCCACGAGGAGATAGCTGAGGAAAGGATGTTTGAGACTGAGTCACCATCATTTGATGGTTTACGAATGATTCGGACATGGAATTGGGATGTTTGGATTCTAGCTAAGGGTTGAAAATACAGTAAGTTTGGGGGCCCAAAAAGTAATTTCATTCCTCATCCCTTTCTTTACACTACCATTTCGAGACATCGGAAATGGCAAATGGGTCTTCTCCGAGTAATAAGATGCTTAGAAGATGACAAAAAGAGGAAGGAATGAACAAAACATCATCTGGCGATTGGATTTACGCCAGAAATATGCACAACGGGATGATCAGCCAGGATCCACTTCGGTGAGATCATTAGGAAACCATCCCTTTTCCACCCCGGTTGCGCCATGAGCTGCGAAGGAAAAGTGCGAAATGTCAAATACCCCAGCAGGACTGAGGCTGTGATTGGAAGCTCGAATCGAGTCAAGGCAGAAAGGGTACATGGTTGTTTCGAAACCCGGATGCTTTGTAGGCAGGTACTAGGCTAAGCACAAGAACGATAGATAATAGACACCGGATTTCGAAGAAGAGTCATATGTTTATTGATCCTTCTTGTGTTCATTTTCATGGGGCAGGTTGGCTACGGTATTGTAATGATATGGCTATGTATCGGATGGCTTGGAAATTGGTGTAGAATAGGAGTATATATCTGATAAATTTCCGGCCAGGAATGAGGAATAAAAAAGAGGTGTTTCTTGTTCAGCCTTATATTTATTGATTCGATTCCCATCTACATCTACATCTGCATCTACATTTATCTTACCTGCAAAGAATATTCTCGAATAGAATTGGTCTTATTTATCCATTCACATCAGCGACGAATAGATTACTTTCGACCGCATCAATACCCATACCCGCTATCCAATTATTTTCCCGCTCTCATTTGATTTATCAACCGCAATCTGATATCTTCGGGTCAGAAACACAACGTACGATTGGTACGAGTTGCTTCGGAGCAAACCTTTCAGGTTACACAAATAGTTACAGTGGTACATAAATGTACCTTTGTACACAAACACAGCATCCTCAGCATGTCTTCTAAGCCCGTCAAGAAAGTGCACTACACTTCGTCCACCAAAGGATCTTCAGTTCACGGCGGAACTCCTTCATCACCACCCATTACATCTAAACCCACATCCACACCCCGTCGTCCCTCGTTCTCTCACCAACGCCACCCTTCTGATTCCGGAGTCGGTTCCTCCTCTTCCAATTCTGCTACTGCAGCAGTAAATTCAGCATCTTTCTATACCGACGCCGATCGCGCACAGCAGAGTCAAAATGTTCATGCCCTGAATGAAGTACTCAGTACACTCAAGGAACGCGTCAAATCTCTCGAATCGAAGAATGGCGATCTAGAAGAAAGATTGATAGAGAGCAATCGGGAGAAACGAGAGCTCCGTCGTGAAAGAGATGAGTCTCTCCGTATAATTGAAGATCTGAAGAAAGAGAAATCTCGAGCCAAAGACGGACGAGAAGCAAAAGAGAGTGATGGAATTCGAGTCCGTGGATCCGATGTCGATGTTAAGATTACACCTGAGAAGAAGGAAAGAGGAGAAAGAATTCCAGTAACAGTTGAGAGAAACACGCCACCCATGACACGCCGCGAAAAAGAACGCGATTCGGAAGCTAGGAGGAAAGAAGAAGAAAGACTTAGAGGACAACATCAGGCCAGAGAGCGAAGAACAAGCTATAGGGATGCACCTCCTTCTCCACTCTATCGCGACGATGAAAGGGATATTAATCCTATGAGTCCCAGCTCTCGATGCAGAGACGAAGATCTTCCCTCCTCGCGCGAGAAACGCAACTCGGGTACTCCTTCAACGGCTAAAATGCAGAACCCATTCACGCCATTGAGCTCCATGGCAGCTAATGCGGTTCCGGGACGAGCAAGAAGAGCGAGTGTTAGCTATGGGACTTCCCCGAGTGGATATATGAGTGCGCCACAAGGATATCCGGGTATGACGATGGGGAGTAGCTATGGAAGGAGAGAGAGAGATGAGGTACCTTATATTAGGGGGGAGGTACCTGTTAATGTTGGCGCTGGAGTTGCGGGGACGAGAGGATCAAGATTGAGTGGTGGGAGTGTAGGGAGTGCGAATGATGATATGTATCCCAATGATGGGAAGTATCATCCTTATCCTTTGAATCATTGATGGATGGCGGTTTTTTTATCGGATTCTTCTTCTTGGACTTTGCGATTTGGGCGATTGATTGTTTGACGGTTGAAAACGAAAGTTTCGGGTCAACGAACTGGACATGTATTTTCTTTTCTCTTTTGCACTTTACATCTGGTCTGGTTTGCGACACGCGTATGGATTGGTTTGCGGTTTCTTATGGATGGATGAAAACAATACCCCTTATAAAATAAAGAGAAATGAAGGAAAGGGGGGAATAGGACGGAATGGTATGGGAAAGGACACACGGTACATATAAGAATGGCGCGAGCCTGGAAGGAAAGGAACGGAAATGGTCGGATGGTTTGGGTGGATAATGACTCTAGGTTAGAAACACACACTAGATAGCTATTATTTTTTATGCCAGATACTCGATGTTTAGATATTGGGATGAATACTTTTCAGAAACTTTTGTGAATATTTGTATCTGAACTTTTTGTGAGTTAAATTGGGTTCGTGACCGAATAGAGAAAGTGATTGCATTTCCCACTTGGGATACTCTTGCTGAGGATAGTGAGTTCGATAATCGTTCGAAATGACTGTTTCAGATATTCCATCATCACAAAGATACAGACATGTACACCCGAGAAAGATGCGATTAGGCTGTAAACTGTGATCTATGATGTGTCTTTCTCGGCCGAATAGTCTATCCGCTACTCTTCCACAGGTCTGGTCGCACCAGTCATAAACCCAATCGCGGCCTCCAAAATGTTTCTCACACTCCCCAATTCTGATTCTGTTCTCGGAGTATATATCATCAGATATTCCGCAGGCATCTTTAATGTACCAGCAAAGGTCATTCTTTCACCCCAACCCTTCTCAATCACATCTTTGCAATCCCTAGGCGAGAGTACTGCGTGCATCGAATAATCCACATTCTTTCCCTCTGTATGGACATGTGCTATCTCTCGTTTCGTTTTCCGTGCCGGGAGATGAGGTGTTGGGACATTCTCTGCGATTAAGAGGGCGTCGCCGTGTTTTTCGAGGGCAGATGTAGTCAAAATTACGTGGTCAGGATAAGTTTTGGCTAGGTTGATGATGGTTTGATTGATCAGTCTGTGCATTCCATATTCACCGAATTGATTGATCTGCCTGTGGGGCACTACCTATCATGGCTTGTCAGTAGTTCGTGCAGATTGATTTTGAGAATAAGCCTCAAGGTACCCATTTGCCCTTCTCAGGTCTGGGACCTTCTCGAATTGGTAATGGTTGTTTCAGAAAGCTCCGTTGGCCAAGTGCCCCGCATTTTGCGATCTCAGTGGGATCGTCGTAGCATGCAATATCGAAAGGTTTGCTTTTGAAATGCCGGAGGAAGTATTGGACGAGTAGGTAGCCGAATATATTGCTAGGCAGGGCATTTTCTTTGAACTCTAACCAGCCATGGTAATCTGCGCGAGATGATTTGAACATCACGAGAGCATATGACAGTCGGTTGACCTCCAGAAAGATGTCGTAGGAGTCATCTTAAGAGCGGATGAATTTTGAGATTGATGATCGGTGGATTAGCTGGCTTGTGCTTACAGCTTGATGCCCCTGTAACGCAAGGCCTTCATTGGGACGTAAAAAGTGGTATCACTCAAACGAAATCAGATATTGAAAGCATTGATACTGTGATATTACATAATGATAGCAATGTGATCTCAAACACGAATTGATTAATTTGTACGATGAACCGAAAGTTTCCGAAACAATCTTGAGCCTTGGTTTTTTGATTCAATATCGAATATTGAAAGGAAGGCATATTTTAGATGAACCTGATATTGCGTTCGCCTGAAGCAACACTAGAACGATGCCCGCCCGCATTTGCAATCCCAGAAACAGACACGGGTGCCAGCAAGCCATTTTTCGATATTGTGATGGTTTAAGTAATATAATTGGTCGGTTTTGTAGCCTTTACAAGTGGGAACGGAGGACGATCCCTTGCCCGAGCCCAGTCTGGATATTCCTTTATCTGCTCTGGTGTTGGTCCCCATTCATCAATTGCAGACAATATGAAGCCAGCACCAAGAAGGATCGTGATATATGTAGCAATCGAACGGTGTTGTTTGACTACCCCTTTCGTCAACCAGTCTGTCGTTCGAGGGCCCTCAAACAAATAGCCATCTAGTGGCCAGACGTCTCGACCTTCCGCATCTTTAATCCAGTCAGGGCTTCGTGGGGCAGTCCAAATGGGATGCTCCACAGAAAAGATGAAAGCTCCTCCAGGCTTCAGTGATTTATAAACTTGCTCGACAAGAGATGGTAGATTCTCGATGTAATGAAGAGCTAGAGAGCTGTAGGCAACGTGAAACTCATTTGGAGATATCTGTAACGTTTCCAGATCGGCTTTGCAATAACTGATAGAAGCATCTTCTGGGTACTCTCGTGCTCGAGCTAACATCTTCTCAGACACGTCTATACCTTGAACAAATTTTGCACCATTTTCTCGCGCCCATCTACACATCCAGCCAAATCCGCATCCAAGATCTAGAAAGTTCGATCCCTCAAGGCTTGGTAACCAAGAACGTAGCACTTCAAATTCAGGAGCCTTTTCCAATCCATGAAGAGAGCGTGGAAGCTGAGCATAAGCCTTGAAAAAGTCCTCTTGATCGTAGATATTTTGTGCCATGATGTGATTCTGCGATCAGAAGTCCAAGCAACATGGATTGTTTTGAAATTCTTGTTCCCAATAGTAGGTGTATGATCACCTGTAGAAACCCAATAATCACGCAATATGTAACTTACCTGGCAAATGGGCGATTGAGAAGAAAAGTCACCTCTTCCCGCAGTCTCCATAGGTACTTGAGAAACGGTACTTTATCGTTCTTCAATGTGATACAAAATTTGCACATGTGAGCCTTCTTCAAGAAGAGCCAGAGCCTCCATTTGATTCCATCATGACGGATTGTCAAATCCAACATTGATGTAGATTGTTGATCGGGAATAAGGTGACTTATCATAAATGTTTAAAAAATTCCGCTGGGCAGCGGGGTTGCGGAGGGAGGATACGCTAGATGGCGGGGTTTCCGCATAGAAACCGACATCGGAGCGGATCTTCCCATTGATCAAAAACATTGTTTCAATTGAAGTTATTCGCATCTAATCACGATACAAACAGAGCATCATGACTGACCATACCCCTTCTCAAAGATATCTGTCGACCAGAGGTGGCGACTACGGATTATCATTCGAAGAAGTCGTGCTGAAAGGTCTCGCTGCTGATGGAGGATTATTCATTCCTGAACAAATTCCATCAGTACCTGAGAACTGGGAGTCAAAATGGAAGAACTTGTCATTCTCTGAACTCGCATTCGAAATCCTTTCCCTCTATATTTCCCCTTCCGAAATCCCACCTGCAGACTTGAAAGATATCATCAATCGAAGTTACTCTACATTTCGCGCTCCAGAAACTACACCTCTCGTTCCTCTCAGCGAAAAGGATAATTTATACCTTTTAGAATTATTCCACGGTCCTACGTTTGCATTCAAAGATGTTGCATTACAATTACTTGGGAATCTCTTCGAATACTTCCTCATTAGACGGAACAAAGGCAAGGAGGGAAAAGATAGGCATCATCTTACAGTTGTTGGGGCTACAAGTGGTGATACTGGATCTGCAGCTATCTACGGTCTTCGAGGCAAGAAGGATGTCTCAGTCTTCATCTTACATCCAAAGGGTAGAGTCAGTCCTGTGCAAGAGGCTCAAATGACCACGGTTTTGGATGCCAATGTGCACAACTTGGCTGTTGAAGGCACTTTTGATGATTGCCAGGTGAGTCATACATCTACATATATTTGACATATCTAATAGTTCTCAGGATACTGTCAAAGCTCTATTCGCGGATCCGCAGATCAACGAGACAATGAACCTTGGAGCCGTCAATTCTATCAATTGGGCAAGAATTTTGGCACAAACCACATACTACTTCCATGCATACTTCTCTCTTCAAAAGTCGTCTGGATATAAACCCGAAAACAAAGTCCGCTTTGTGGTACCTACTGGCAACTTTGGTGACATTCTGGCTGGATATTTCGCAAAGCGCATGGGTCTACCAGCTGAAAAGCTTGTGATTGCGACTAACGAGAATGATATCTTATACCGCTTCTGGAAGACAGGACACTACGAGAAGAAGGCGGTTCATGGTGTCGAAGCTGAAGGTGGACTTGTTGAAGATGGAGTCAAAGCACACGAGGATGGTGTCAAGGAGACTCTTAGCCCAGCTATGGATATTCTTGTCTCAAGTAACTTTGAGCGACTACTGTGGTTTTTAGCCTACGAGTATGCCTCTGGCGCTGGTATGGACGATGAGTGGAATAAAAAGCAAGCCGGCCAGGAAGTTGAGGTTTGGCTCAAACAATTGAAAACAAATGGTGGGTTCAATGTCCAGGATGAAATCCTCAAGGCTGCGAACAGAGATTTCGACAGCGAAAGAGTCAGTGACAAGCAAACCATCGACACAATTAAGGACTTCTATACTAGCGGTTCCTACGTTTTGGATCCACATTCAGCCATTGGTGTAGCTGCTTCATTACGATCCGTCTCCCGCTCACCAAATGCATATCACATTTCTCTCTCAACAGCACACCCAGCCAAGTTTGCAAATGCAGTTGATCTTGCATTGAAGGATGAAAAGAGCTTCAGCTTTGATACAGTGCTCCCTAAAGAATTTGTTGGGTTAGAAGAAAAAGAGAAACGAGTCAGAGTTGTACCCAGTACTTCTTGGGAAGATGTTCGGGCAATTGTTGTCGAGGAGGTCGAGGCAGAATTAAAAGGAACTTCATGATATCCATATTACTGTAGTATAATAGGTCAAATCACCTCCAATAACTTTTCGCGACTCACATCCCGGTCAAATTGTGAAATCTGCAGCCAGAAACCCTTTTAATGCAGCAATGCCTCACTCTAATGATTGGCTTGCTAATTGAGCTGTGTGAGGCTTATCTCTTTTCGATGCTGAGTGCAGCACAGCACTTAAATATATGTTTATCGCGGCTCACTCTTTTGCTCCCATTATATACTAATCTTTCAATTATTCATCATTCATCTTCTCAGAGAAGTCTTGATATTGTACATTATGGCGGATCCCGTCAGTTTCACAGCAAGCGTCATTGGTATCGCAACACTAGCGGTACAACTCGGGGATGCCCTGAGGAAAGCAGCTGAATTTTGGGAAGCCGTTCAGGATGCTCCTTCAGACATTCGCCGCTTGTCCAAACAGCTTCGACTTGTGGCTAGCGTCTTTCATACAATTCGACTTGAATACGAAACTGGTAGTATACCTACAAATTTTGAAAGCATGGTCAAGGACGCTCTGGAATTAGCAAAAGACGATATTGGTCAACTCTCAGAGTTGATCTCAGAGTTGTCGCGAAATCTATCCGTTGCCAATGGGAGTCTCGGTAGGCAATGGAGAAAAGTCCAGATGGTCCTGAAAGCGGGCAAGATAGAAAGGTTTAGGGATAATCTTGAGAGCGTTAAGACCACTATGGCTCTACTTCAGGGTAGCAGACAACAGTAATATAACCCCCTTCCTATAAAATGATTATTTGATTGACCAGCTGAGTATAGGGCATCTTTGATTCAAGTCAACAGCAGGCTCGATGTCCTAACCACGAATATTAGCTCTGTAGCTACAACAAACTCGACGCACCAAATTTCACTTCCAACATCACAAGAAACGACGCAGAGTCAACTATTTCCCTCGGGTGGATGGAGAAGCTCTGCTGGTAGCGTTTCTAAATCTTTTAATCAATATAAGACGAATTTCTTACTAGGCACTGTCAATTTTCGAACTATTTCTACCACTCACCGATATAACGATGACGATGGGATAGACGATGCCGACAATTCGACAAGCATCAAGACTTTCCTGGTTGAACTTTTAGTGGGATATACGACATGTCGGAAAGGGTTCAGATTCATGGCAACAAGTAATTTTGATCGGTATGCACTTGACATTGTTCGGCGCCGACCATATGATTCGGAAATTTTCAAACTTTGTAGAAATGGTAATGTTCAAGCTGTTCGGAGGTTACTAGATCGCGGAGAAGCATCTATTCATGATGTGGACGAGATGGGAAGGTCTCTTTTACATGTAAGTATCCCAACACACGAAAATCGTAAAGTGGCATTTCTTATTGTTTCACAGATAGCCGTTTCGTGTGACAACTGGCAGCTTTCCACAATGCTTCTTGATGTTGGGGCTGATTTACACTGGGAAGATGATTATGGCTAGTAAGTTATTCTTCTTTTGATCAAATCACAAGGAAACCCGCTCATATATTATTACAGTCTCCCTGTGTTGATGACGAAAGCATTGACTTGTTTTGCTACTTTAGTTGAAGCTGGATTTGACTTATGGCCGTTCTGTTTATCGGGCTCAGGTACATTTTTTGACTCTTTCTCGAATATTTCCGTATGGCATTATATATTCCAGCATAAACCAACCCAATCAATCGGAAGCAGTTTTGATGCATTTATGCAATGGAGCATTTGTCGAACAAAAGATGCCGAAGTTCTCGATTTTTTAGTCGCCAGGTTTGCGGAATAGTTATTCCAACTCGAGACTCCCGATTCAGATTACAACAGGGGGCTTGCGGTACATATGATATTTACTGTTGTGAACAAATGGCTCGGATCATTATTCCGTCTTTGGTTCTATGGACGAGAGAGCAGTACATTATTCCCATTCGAATACAAGCTCTCCCTTGTCTTGAGGCAATTACTTATACCCTCATCTTCAAGCGAATCAAACGAAGAGCTCCTCCCGCGTACTATCACTGGCATATACATAGATGGGGTTGTAGGTATTATAAAAGCATGCCTTTGGAGCGTGGGAATTACCAATGCTCTCTTTCGACTATGGTCGAAACCACTTTTTGAGTTAGGAATTGATCTCTTTCCTCATCATCCACGTACCGAGAGTGACGGTCAAGAGAACAGCGACAGGGGTGGTAGCGATGGAAAGAACATTCCAAAGAATTATTTCAAAGGCCACATCATTCATTGTTGTAAGGACATAAATTATTCGATTGTTTATGAGCATCAGCAAGACAATCTTTCGCTTGAAATAGATGTTACAACTTTACCAGAGTACTCGCATCTTGATCCCCTATTCCTATGCGAAGCTGGTCGAAAACGTCGCGATAGGAATGGTGCAGGCCGATGCCTCTCACAAGTCGATGAAGCTTTCATCGAAAGCGGAAAGCTCTCCATGGATATGCCTGGACAATGGGAAGAGCCACTGGTTCCAAATACGGCAATGGAGCTCACTCTGTATTCGCCATTTTACACACGCCCTCAGATTTTTTACAGCATGGTTCATGAATCAGGATACGGCTATTGTACTATCACCGAGGAAGACATCCAACAAATTGAGGAAGATTTGAAAAATGGTACTTTGCAAGGCTTAAGCGAGGATTCACCTGAAACTTCCGGGGAAGCCTGATATGAGAGAAGTACCAACTTATACAAGACATCTTCACTGTGCCCTCAATCAACAAAGGAACAGAATGAAAAGTCGGAACCTTAGATCAAGTTTTTTATCCAGATAAGCTCACGTCGAGCTTGAAATTTTACAGAATCGAGATTTCTACCAGAGGCCCAGGGACTCATTTCCGACAACATGGGACGATGAATTCTATATGCAAGTTTATATGAAAATGAGAAAGAAAGTCTTCCACCCTCTTATAGCGTGCCATTAAAGCTTGACCGAACCATACGTAAGAAATCATCGCGAGGGTTGTCAACGGATCTTTTGGGGGAGGAGGGGTAGGGGTTTTTCCCAGTTTTGAGACCCATCTCTACCCTCGATAGGGTACTCAAGCGGTGTTATTTGGGGTATTTCTTTTCATTTGTCTTGGATTTAATGATATCTTGAAGCTTTGCGATATCATCATCTCTCTATCTCTAGGTTGTATTTAACCACTATCATCTATGATCCATTTTCAGCTCGACATAAACTTTTTTGTCCAGATGATGTTGAATAGGCACTCTCGCAACCGGTTTCACATTCGACTATTTTTTCCACTGCCCAAATTCTAATTCTATAATTGGCATAGCTAGGTACTCATCTACTCATGCCCGCCTATTGTTTAACAAAGTATTTCAATCCACCCATATATCGCCCGAAAATTTAAAAACCTGCTGTGCACTTTCGCAAATCCCATCTGATCACGAACCACCACAAATTTAAACATCTCTCCAATTCCCAACCCCCCAATTCACAACACCCCCAAAACCCCCATCCACATCCACACCATCACCCCCTTCTCCAACCACCTCTTCTGTTTCCATCACACCCACAAAACCCACCTCATCCTCTCAATACACCCACCCATCCAACCATCCAACCTCCACACCCGACATTCTTACACGAAAACGTACAAATCCTCAATTTTCCACACAAAATACTTAAGGTCGTCACTTAAAAGCTGCCATGTATATTCAATAATATCAATATCAGTATCAATATCAATATCAATATCTCACACCCACACCCTAATTTCCCTCCCATCCATCCATCCATCTAATCTCTCTCTAGATCTACGTAATTATATAATCATTCACATTTTATAACCACCAGACTCGATCCGATTCGATTCTGCTCTGCTATGCTTCTTGCTCGCTTCGCTTGAAGGGGTGGCGTGTGGATTAGATTATTCGTGTGCATGTCTGGGTATTTTGAAGGTGTATGGGTTGTATACGTTGCGAGAGAGGAGAGAGGAAGGAAGGCGGGAGGAAGAAAGGATTGTTGAGATTCGGAATCGTGAGAAGCTTGGCTTGGATATCGGTGTGTTTGGTTTTCTAGGTATATATATACATACATCTCACAAAGCCACTATGTCCACGTCTCTTCCTCCCTGTCACTCCTCCCTCTCCCCTTATCCCCTGCTCCTAACTCAAATCCTCATCCACCTCATCCACATCAATATTCTCACTCTTCTCCTCTCATCCTCTCCCAACACGTTTTCAAGCTTATTTATACGTCATTACTATCTCTCCTACTTTGCAGCAATTTTTATTTTTCCTTTCCACTTCTTCTTCGCCCTCTTCTCCCTCTCCCTCTCCCTTCAGAAAAAAGACTGATCAAAGAATATCACAAGAATACCAGGAAATAATCATAAGACTCGGAATATTAGGAATAGTAAAAAGTAGAATGATGATGGGGAAATCGACAGAAGACTGTGATAATACCAGGTAGATGAGTAGTGTCTTATTATTTATAAAGATACACATGTGAAATTATATATTAGATATATTATACATATTGACGATTAAGAATTAGAAATTAAAAATTAGAAATTAAAAATTAGAAATTAAAAATTAGAAATTAAAAATTAGAAATTAGAAACCAAGTGTTATCGATTAAAAAATACAATCTCCCAACCATAAACATCCTCAGAATCCATACCTTCCACCCATTTCCAAGTTCCAACTGAAAATCCTAACCAATGAACCAAATATCACGAATATGCAAAAAAACACACAAGCAAACGCGAAACATCCTCAGGTTTACAAATTATTATTCGAGGATCTGTTTAAGACTGTAACCAATACTGAAGCCATCAATACGTTGAGCCAAGTAGTAAGCTTAAGACTAAAAACTGTAAGAGAGTTGTAGAATCAATGACAACATCTTCGACTTCGAAGTTCACGATTCTAAGCCCGAGAGCAACTTGCAACGAGACTCAAACAGCAATGAGCAACTCAAACCTACCTATCTCGCTGATATCATTCCCGAGTAATCCTGAGCATTTAATTTGAGCGAAATCTTCTGCTAAGATTCGAAACATAGAGTATATACTGAGCAACGAAAGTCACTCGATGGAAAGTTCAAGATTGCCAGAACTGGAACGAGGGCTCACAGCTTCGCAATACTTGGTTACCATTCCCAAGGAAGTACTTCACAAATCAATGCAAAGGCGTTGGTTGAGCATTTCATTTCGAAGTCAAGAGAGTGAGGAATGAAGAAAGACTGAAGTCACTCAAAGCAGAACAGACCATTCATTAAGTAGCAGGGATATAAGGTTAACAAACAAAAGAAGAAACACAATAATAAATCTACCAATCAAGCCATACGACCGTATGCATGCAACCATACAGCCTCGTATCCCAAGATCCAAGTTCAGCCTCACAGCAAAACTATTCCGTCCCCCTCCCAAAAATTTCATCCCAAAAACTTCCCCAAACCCATATATATCCCGCCCCACTCTCCGACAGATTTTTCCAGCCTAGTCCCAACCTAGCCATGTTTGCACCATTTGCACTCGCTTCGCTCTTGCATTTCCCCGCACAGACCACACTCCATCTCTATAAGATGCTCTCCTCCCCAGACCCTCAGGGAAAAAAGTATCGACAATACTTCAAAGAATCATTTCTTTAGTAAACGTCCTTCTTCTGTGTTCTCTACAAGAGCCACAGACTCCAACTGGGACGATGAGTCGATCCTCGATGCCCTAGAGTGAAACCGTTTTTGCTTTCGTTCTTTCCGCAAGGGAGGCGTTGGAGTGGCTGGTGACAGTTGCTTGATCGTATAGAAAGTGGTGATGATCTCGACCCTCTTTTGGTTCTCTTAGGAGTCTGGATTGGGGTGGGTGTTGATGGACGTCTGACCAGTTTTTGAAATCTTTTTTTTTTTTCATTGCACATTTGGCCTTGTGCTGGGTTGTGAAGAAGAATTGGTAGTGGTTTGGTATACTTGTGGGATGTGGTTCGATATTGAAGTTATTCGCGATTGGTGCGACAGTGTCTTCCAACTACGGCGAGCTGTTGATCTGCCACTGTCAAGCACGAAGATGTTGAAGTCAGTCAGCAAGAAGGACTCTGGATATCTAGTACTCAATCCCTCTTTTCGGGCCCTCCCTTCGAGATACTACTTCAGTCAGATATTACAAACGGCATCTGTAACAACACCTTTATTAGCTTTGTTTACGGGTTCAAGAAACTAAGCTCGCCGATTTCTTAGTCGTTGCAAAATACCACGAACAGATGTGCGATATATTGCCGACATTCTTGAGCGCAAGATATTGTTAATGTTGATAATAGTATTGAATTCATAAATGCATGAAGGAGGTGCACTGATAATGGTCATTGATGACTCTACTCTCAATTGGATCAATTCTTTCACAATTCATTTCTTCTATTCCTACAAATCTTTGGCAAGTCATGCATGGTATATATACGTCTTAAACTTTTACAAACACTCGCTACATCGTCGCAGCTCTTCCCACAAAGCATTGACACCCATCTACCCATTTTGAATAAATTACACAACTGTTTCCCATCACATCAACATTCATCCACCCTCAACTATACACTCGCTTGCCTAGTCTTTTGTTCCTCACTCCCCCCAACACTACCTTCCTCCAAGCTTCCATTCCTCACTCTCCTCGTTTCTCTTCCCTTGTCACTCCACGGGAAATGCCACACTGGCACCGTAAAAAAGCTATTCGAATCATCTGCCAGTCCAGCTAGCGTCACATACCACGCTGCAAACGCTGCTAGGAGCCCAAACATTCCGCCTGCTTTTTGGAATGCCACATTTGGACCTGCTTCTCCAGGGTACAAGTAGGCGAGACCGAGCATTAGGAAGGTGAGAACGACCATGAAGAAGAGGAAGGAGAAGACAACAGTTGAGCGAAGAGTGAGGATCCAGAGGATGAATGTGAATATGAACCAGCCCTGGAGACTCGTTAGTTGGTGGACTCAGGTGGTGAAGGTGGTATGAGTAAGAAGAGAGAAAATACCATGAGGAAAAATCCAAATGCATAGTAAAAATGTACTGGATTCTCATAGGAGGCTTGAATTCCAAATCCACCTGGTGTCAAGACAATCGCGAGAGATATCCAAAATCCCCCATAAGAACTCAATGCCGTGGCACCAAATGTATTTCCAGCTGCCATTTCCCTGTATCATTCCTCATTAGCCAAAGTTTCACAAACTCCAATCCAATTTCCCTCGGCAATTCATCGAATAGGCATAAATCAACAGATATAAGAAATGAAACATACCACATCCCCGCCAATAATTGAACCAACCCACCATACCCAAAAGCCAACGCAACCACAATATTCGGCTCTGAAACATCTCTCGTATGCCAATTTATCAAGCTTAATACAAATGTCGTCAATGCGAAAGCAGCAAGTCCTAAAGGTGCAGGATTCGCTATGTTCTTCTTAGGAGGTCGATACAATCCCGGCTGAAGCGCACCAGCAAAGGGGGCAAAATATATGGAGTTGGAGGAGTTGGTATGGGCGTGGGCTAAGGGGTTGCCGGTATAGAGGGCGGGATTGGGAGTGCGGTCATGGTGTGATGATGTTGCCATTTTTGGGTAGAAAGTTCGGGCAGAGGGTATGAAAGGGAGCAGAGAAAGAAAGCAAAGGAAGAGGGGTTGATATACTTATTTGATGCTGTGTTACTTACATGTTGATGATCTACGCCAATATCTCTGAATACAAGATAGCTATCAACTCCGGAGTTTTCTTTCCATCCAAGAGGAATATTATTCGTGACAATAACGCGGAAACTTATTTCTTTCCGCTGTGGTGCAATGCAGAGAAGCATTATTTTGATCCGAGCGCTCTTCTCCGCACCCCACGTTTCCACATCCATACAAACGCATGTGCCGAATATGCATATGCTAGATCGACGTCAAAGATCGACATCTGCGACCCCTCACCGGGTTCTTGGGTATGGGGTATGTTGTCTATTGCGGAAAGATGTGGTTGAAGTACGCGGCGCACGGTAGTTTGGAGTTGAGTTTCTGATGGCATGATGTTATAATCATGATTCACGTCTGCACGTGGAGGGGCGTGATTCAATACTTAAAGGTTGGAATCTCATTACGATATGAAACGAGATGTTCACAGTCGGTACATGATGTATGAAGTGGTTTACCCATTCATTTTTTGTATAGTTATATCCTAGGGACAAATCGATGTTCATATGAAGGATGTCAGTGGAGTTTGGAAGTGTGGGGAGGAACTCGAAGATGCCGTCATGATCTGTTGGCGCTAGTGCTCTAGCGCCAATTTTTTAGTCAGGTGCACGTGAGTGCGAGCTGATTCTTCCATCCGTCCTTTTTTTCAATCATGATTTCGGAGACAAGTGGTTCATACTCATGATACTTTGCGATGAGATTGACAGAGTGAGATGAAAATCAAGAGCTATCTGTGTCTGCTTCATTCTTGCCGTTTAGAACATGTGACGAGATGAGAGCCTGGAGAAATGCATGAGTTGTCGAGACCTCAATTTTGATGGTAATATTTCAATAAAAGATGATATGAGCAATGAAGAGGGGAAGATAGATGAGGAAAAGGTAGCAAATCACCAAGCACGATTGAAGGAACGAATGAGGTCCAAAAGTTCAAGGCATCTCCGACTAGCCAAAATTCATGGCCAGTGTCAAATTACTTGTCGTATTTTACATGAAGACTGGGATGAGTGGTTTGACTACTGAACTTCTTGCCAGTCTATGCAAAATATCTCAGTATTCGACAGGTTTACCAATATTGAGATTGAGAGATACCTGCACCAACAATCCGAGGCGTTGAATGCTTGAAAGTGCGAGTATAAAGGGATGAACACTCGTTTGAGAAACTTTCGCATCAACGAGCACGAGTCATTATAATTACATGCAATTCCTCTCCATTGTAGCTACAATTGCATATCTTTGTTTGTCGCTTTACTAGATCTTTACAGATCACCGGAAGCAGAAGCAAACTTTCCTCGGAACTCCATCCCTTATCCCTCTTTCAGTTCCTTCCCTGTCACATGTATGAAATATCCTTCATCCCGCAATTTAAGGCCTCTTGCAGATTTTCTCATTGCTACTGTTTCGTTCTCCTCCTTTCTGATTACCTGATTTGCTAGCTCTATCCCTAAACCATTCAATCGTCGGTTCTGCGAAATCAAGCTTCTCTATTTTCATAAATCCCTTGCGCTCGGGGGTATCTACTGAAGCATCTGCTGCTGAGGCATCGTCCTTGACCTCAAAGACTTTATAGACTTCCAGTATTTTTACTGTCTTGAGTTTTCGGAGCTCTCCTTCAAGCAGGGAGGTTATGTACCGTTGGTGAACACTCCTGCCCGAGTTCAAAGGATCCAAGACAAGTAGCAAGGACCAGTCTGGATGAGGATCTTTTTTCACTTCAATCACCAGCTTCTCCAAACCGGTACAGAACCTATTGATGATCGGAACATACAAACGAAGGGTATCAACCAGGTCCTTAGAGCACAACGATTCTTTCAGACCATTGGGGCCATGCGTGGAGTCGCTGCCCTCACATAGGTGTAGGATGACTGTTCCACTGAATTTTAAAGTCTTTAGCATACCAGCCTTCTCTTTCCCAATTGCTTGAAGAAAGCGGAAAAAGTGATCGTGATAGCTGTATGCATCCCAACAGTCCTCGAGAACTGGAGTCCCCGAGTTTTCAATCAATCGAATAGCGTCATGAACGGCAAAGAAATGGGGCTCAAAACTTTCAAATGGCCTTGTCTCGTGAAGTCGCGTCAACAGTAGTGAAACTTCATCCAACGGGGCCTGTGTAATCGTCTCAACCTCGGATAAATTCAAGCTGCGTGGTTTCACATGATCGATCCAAGAAATAGGACTGCCGGTTGCACTCCAATCCATTGTTGTAAAATGGAACATGTTTTCCTTATATAAAAACTTAGTTGCATTGTCTCTGAAGCTTTTGCACACTCGTAATAGAGTTGCATCTATCCTGGGGCGGTATACTCTTCGAAGCTGAAAGTGTGTCCCTTCTTGATCTTTGCATGGGTGTGTGATGATAGTATCAAAACTGAATTCTGATTTGGGACTTCGCTCACCGTCTAGGGAATAGGTCTTATGAGACTTAAAAACCCGTGCCCAATCAGATGTTGTGACGTCCGGCGTGATTGTATGATCCTCGATTGTCAAAACGGAGCGGGAGATCATATCAATAATTTCTGTCAAATTTTTTTAGTAGTGAATGACGCAATAGCAATCAACAATGAATATCTGGATTCATGATACCGTTAGAGACTTTGAGTGAGGATGCTCTTGAATTTTGTTTTTGGCTCACTAAAGTCTCATCGAATGCCCGTGTCCATAACAAATCGTGCAATAAAACCATGCGATTTTGAAAGGAGGTAGAGAACCATGAATTCATTTTAATTCAAAGAGTCGAGAGAGAAGTCCATGCTATATGCACCCATTGTAGAATGATCAACTCACCTTGAGGAAATTTCAACAAGTGTCGGTCATGATCCTGAGGCAATGCCCATTCGCTTTCACTTTGATGTGCGATTAACTTCTGGAGACCCTTTTTCTTCGGTCGATCAATCATGGCCAATGTCGGAGTATTTTTAGCAACATGGTATGTTCTCCGTTGGGGGTCCGTCTTCCTTTCGTATCTAGGAATAGTAGCTGTAAAGTATTGAATATCTGCAATTGACCAAATAAGTATATTGTACCCTCAAACAATCACAGGCATTCTTTAAACTTGGATTGGAAAGTCAACACACCAGAGCCGCAGACATAACGAAAATTATCCTTCCAAAAGTAACGACCTTCAATCCAATGCTTCTTCGCATACTTTTCCAGGGCTCTTGACGGGAGCTTTTCCTCAGGAAACTCTTTGCGTGCGGCATCAAGATCGTCTTGATTCATCGGTGGAAGATTGTTGACATGCTCGCGCGGAACACGGGGAGGAAATCGTGGTGGCATCTTTATTCTGGCAATGCGCAATTTTGAGAGAGAACGAAGAAGGTATTGAAGAGGAGTGCAAGAAGATAGAAGAAATATCTATCAATATATCGTATCAATTCATCCGAACCTTCTTGTTTGTGTGATTGATTTTTGGTTTGATCTTGCAGGAAACTGAATTTAAGTTTGTAACTTCCATTCGATTTGAGGCATGAGAACGAGGCACGTGCCAGACTTCAATTCTCGTTCTGACCAGAACTTCCATATTCACTTTTACTCTACTTCACTCAATTCATGCATCTCATCTAGTGAAGCCAGATATTGCTAAAAATACAAGTCGAAACACGTGACGACTTTGGGCAATGAAAACATAGGAAATGATCCATGGTTGTTAGTCACAACACAGTATCATTGCCTAAAGGTCAACTTATTACTTGTAAGTAGACATTATTTCCACTCTCGATGGTTTATCGACACTGCAGAGGTATAGAGTTATACAATAGAGCAAGAAAACAAAATGAGACGTAAAAAACAACGCTCAGATAACACCGTGGAAACAAGAGATATCAAGGTCAAAGATATGACAAGAAGCCTCTGATTTGCATCTTCTCGAGACTGACTTGTAAATGGTTAGTCGTAGCTCGTTAATAGTTTAAATCAATGGTTCTTTAGTTGAGAAAAGGGTCAGTTGGCACAAGATTATCATTTCAACAATTTTTTTGTTATTCTTATCACAATTTCGCAAACATAAGCACCTGGAATCTCAGTCTAGTGTAATGGTTCAATTATTGAAAGACATGCTTGCTTTAGACCCTGGATGTTGACTTCTTAGGTATATTGCCTAAAATCTCTGAACACCTGATCACTGGTAGTCTTGTCCTTCGAAAGGTGCGATGCTCCATCGCCAATGCAATCATGTTGCTTCCGAAACAATGGAACTATTGGCATTATCATCACCAATGGTCAAAGCCTGCATCCTGATCTGCAGTTTCGTCTTCCCAAACGCTTCGAGTCCCCGCTGACGAGCTCTCTCAGAAAACCATGCCTCTGTGTCTTTGGCACATTCTATCTCTGTCTGGCCATCCAAGGAGACCTGGAGTTGTTGAACCGTGTTCAACTCTCTGATCTGGTTTTCCAGCAAATCTTGCAGACGTGCAATAAACCCGCGTTCTCGTTCGTCCTCGTCATATGATACGCGGCCTCCCCTGAAGGTATTGCTCGTTTGGTAGTCCCTGCTCACAATAATCACCAACTTTTGTACGTTGGTGCAAAACTTGTTAATGAGAGTAATGTAAAGAAGCATACTTTCGATCAAGTCGTCTTCGCACTCCTTGGTACATTTGGTGCAGCTAGAATCCTGAGAGCAATAATGTTGCTTGACGGGCCCGCTGAAATGTAGGGTCTTGATCATGGCGGCCTTGCTTGGCCCGATGGCACGAAGGAATCGTACAAAGGGATCATGATACATGTCGAAGTACAGATCTACCACCGTTGTTCTGTTTTCGATGATGCTGATAGCATCAACGGCCATTTCTTGTCGTCTCTTTCTGGCTTCTTGGCAGTCTCTTCCTTGACAAAATGATCTATTCGACCCAGTATTTGGATATAACCTGTCTTCAAACAAGGTATCTGGGGCCCCCAATTTGCCAGTCTTTGTTGTCAGGAACTTGAATTTGTTTCCTGTATATAAAATTTCATTTCCCTGATCACAGATGCTCTTGCAGACCCGCAGAATTGTTGCGTCGATCATAGGGCGGCAAACTCTGCGAAGAACAAAGTACTTTCCATGTGCATCATATCGTTGTTCGTGAATTACTGTGCTGATCCAGAGAGATTCAAAGTGAGCCGTCTTCGGATATTTATAATTCCATTCAATTCCTTCCAAGTTGTAAGATTGGTGGAATTTGGGGTCATCATACTTGGGCAGCCTGTTCGAGGTGGAGACATCGGGGAGCACTATAAATTCTTGGGCACTCAATATGGACCCAAAAATAGCATCCAGAATTTCTGTGTCCAAATCATTAGTATTCAATTTGCAATCGGCATTTTAGAGCTAACTTACCTTGTGGGAAATTCAAAAGATGACGAGGATGATCACGAGGTACGTTCCATTGCATTTCGCTCTTGTGCGCGATTAGCTTTGAAAGCCTCTGTGGCTTGGGTGTATCGATTTGTGACAGCGTTGGAGGACCACCCAGTGGAACCAAGTACTTCTTGTAATTGTACGGACAGCGAACTTCTTTGGTTCTGGGTTCCCAGATTTGATTATAGATGATATCTGAAATGATCAAAGTAAGTAAGAAGTCTTTAAAAATACTGGGTTATTCGAATGATTATAACATACCATCACCGCAAGTGTAGCGGCAGTTGTCTTTCCAGAACCATTTGTTGCTACTTGATCCGAGCCAATGAGCGTGGGCAAACTTTTCTAGAGCCCTAGATGGTAGCCTCTCTTCTGGAAACTCGCGGCGCGCCTCCACTAGATCCTCTGGAGTGTAAGGTCCAAATGCAATAGTGCGGCCATAAAGTTTTGGTCCAGGCATTTTGGTGTAGTTAAGGGGGTATTGAGATGTTGAAGTTGAACTTGGTGTTGAACTTGGTGTTGGAGTTGATGTTGGAGTTGATGTTGGAATTGATGTTGGAATTGATGTTGGAGTTGATGTTGAAGTTGATGTTGAAGTTGATGTTTAATGAATCTTTGTAGGAATGGATCTTGGAGGGAAGGGGGCTTAAATAGCCATGAGAAAGAGTTCAACTCGCCTGTTTTGACACTAGTCTATACAGCAGATGTTAAGCGACGCATTAGCGCATCAATATTCAGACGAAACATCTGAGCGTGCTTAGGTATACATTGGAGATGTAGTATAGCGTAATTCAATGGAAGTTTATACGGATATTTGCATTAACTCTGCTCAATTCCTACTTGCGCATTCATCACCCGCAATAACAGAGACTACATTACTCCGCGCCATCTCTGCTTAAATTCCTCGATCTGATTCAAGGAGAGTTTAGGAAATTCATGTTTTTAAATGATGAGAAGTGAATACTAGGGTGATGTATGCAGGAAATTTATAGATTCTGGAAGAGTCATTCATTAGCAAACGGGAATATAATTGAAACAAACTTCTCAAAGTCACCTGTCGTTAAACTTGAGATTGGTCGTTGGCTGTTGGTGAAATCATTGTTTAGGTAAACCCTACAAGGTTGTTGAATCACGATTGTAAGAGTCAAATAATATTAGGTCATTTATATGATTCATGATAATGAATCAGTTGAGTCCATTGATTACTAGCTAAAAACGCCCAGAGATACATAGGTCAAGAGACCGACCAAACTCCCATCACCCCCAGCCAATGAGACCAAATCATGCCTGCTTGACTTGAGTTTCTCAGTCGTTTACCCATATAGTATCTGATGAGCATTCTCGAATGATTTTAAGCGTTTGATGCCCAACCTTTTGCCCTATCCTCAAACCATTTGCATGTTTCTACTGCAAGAGGAAACTTCATTGGTTCATAAAGATGATTCTCCTCAGTTGGTTTCGCTTCATTCCGGGTACAAAGGACCAAAGTTTTGACTGTCTGTAACTTTCTGATGTGTTTCTTTAGGAGCGGAGTAAGATTTTCCTGGAAGCTAGACCATCTCAACCATTCTTTATCTTTGAAACGACGATGGACATCTGGAGCGATGTTTAAGACGAGCTTTTCTAGGTGCGGACAGAACTCATGGATAAATTGTAGATAGATAAGGAAGTTCATCATAAAACCCTCGCCGCAAATTCTATGATGATCATTGGCTGGATTGCAACGATGAGTCTTCATGTTGCCAGAAAACTGGAGACTTTTGATAAGTTTCGCATTTTCTGGGCCAATATTGTAGAGGAATCGAACGAAAGGATCTTGGTAAGCCCAACCTGCTAGATCTTTGTCGCTAACAGATTGTTTTACTTGGGACACTGCGTCTTTAACTTCGACCAACCATTCGTTATATGGCTGTAGTACTCCAACATTCTCTATGTGTCTATCTGGTTTGAGGACGGTCGAGCTTGACCGAGGTCCATCCTGATCGTACATCATATATTTTCTCGTATTCTTATAAGTTGAAATGTCAAACGTGAAAGTGTTGTGTCTGTACAACATCTCCGTGCCATAACCATGGAAAGCTTTACATGCTCTGAGACAGCTTGCATCAGCCATTGGACGTAAAATGTTTTGCATCTGAATGTAAGGTCCGGATTCATCGCTCAATTCTGATTTCTTGATGGATTGCGGTCCTCGCTCGAAAAATGTATCTCCAAACATTCCAATTGATGGATGATATTTTTCAGCAAAGGCATACACACGGTATCCATTACGGGGTAGATCTTGGCGAACAGGTCCAGGGTAAGGAGGGCGAGAGATTTGGTAGTGAGCTTCTTGGTAGTCGCTATTCTTGTTACTAGTCATCGCTCTAGGGGCTATGGAGCCCACGTCCTCGCCGACAATGAGATTGTAACCAATAATCTTGTCTAGAATCTCTATAGGTTGAACAAAAGTCAGCTATTATCTTCATGGGAAATCAAAAAATTGAATGATGGCGAACTTACCCTGTGGAAAGTTGAGCAAGTGTCTAGGGTGAGATCTTGGTAGATTCCAACCTCCTTCACTTGGATGAATTCCAATTGCTTCACGAGCTGCAAGTGTCCCCCTAGTTACACGGTCCACGTCCTTCAATAGAACTGGAATGTCCCAATAATCGACATAAGTCTGTGTCTCAGTCGTTGATCTCCAGCGTGAAAGATTCTTCCAGAGTCGAGGTTGGGCTTTGTAATGGTAATATTCAATGTCTACAATGATTGTCAAGTTAGTATTAATTGAATTATTTAAGGGGTTCAGTAATATACATACCTCTGCAAATAATATGACGTATTCCATCTTTCACGAACCATTGGTTATGGATCCAACGAGCAAGGACTCGTTTCTGAAGGGCCTCCTCAGGAGTAAGATCTGGGAACTCGGTGGATGCGCGGAGCTGTTCTTTCCGAGAATTGTGCTTCTCGATATAAGATTTCTTGTCTTTCGCAGACATCTTTGGTCTAAACGGAAGATTGAAATGGCTATATACTGAATCTAATAAGTTCATTTTAGATTTTTTATGTAAGATAAAGTCTTGATGGATGAAGTTCTATGAAGGAAGACTCTGATCAAAGAAGTTCTTGATGAAAGATGAGAAGGATAACAGGATGAGTTTTTTGAGGAGGGAATTGGTTTCCCTTATAACCACTTGCAAAAGACTTCCTGGTGATATCAGCAGCTGTAGTAAAAGAGCGTAACCAAGATTAGTGTCGTAGCTAAGACCGTATCATAGATCCATTTCATGAGTGACGGGATGCTAACGATACATTAGTAACGCCGGCTTGTACGGTCAAGTTATAACTCTGAGCTGACATTTCGCTTTATATACATTTCTTACCAGGATATACATCGCGGTTAACACCGTACACCATAATGTGATTAATAATTTAACCTTGATCGTGAATCACAAAATAGCACTACCAACTTGTACGGCTAGACGACCAAGTCTAAACATGCGCTTCATGTTACCCTTATTGAGGCTCACGAATTTTGGTGCGTTTTATGATGTCTCACTACCTTTTGCTTCATTCGCCGACCGCCGTGAACAGTGATGATTTATAAGACGCGGTCAATTGATCATACTTATGGCAGTGTATGACAGTAGTCTCGCAATCAGTATTATTTGCATGGTATTTTTCACTTTGAGTCGTCCTTGGATCTGTTACAACTTTTTCAGAATTGACTGTATTAGTTGTCTTCTAATATTACGATACGGAACCGTTTTCCAAGGAGAAACTAAATCTCCCTTACTAGAAACCCCACGCTCGCTTAAGAAATATTAGCCTAGATTTTGGTTTCTGCACCATCATTCCCTCTTGTATTGTTCAGCTGGCGAGCTTGATCTGATTCAACAAATGCGGTTATTTACAAATTGTCTAAAATGATAAACTAAAATTTCATATTTAAAAAGCTGTGAGCTTTTATTGAAAAACTCTGTGATGAGAATGAACGTGACATATCAAACATTACCAATTTCCAGAGAACAATGCTTTGTCTTTTCGTACTCAATCACATTTGTAAAATATCGAAAGCATTCATTGGTAAAGAGGTTTCAGTGGCACTCAAGAAATATTGATCCAGACTTAACTGTCGGAACACTCTATTCATCACCATTTCCTGAATCACTTGCATCATGTAACAGTAAACCTTGCTAAATTTTTTATCAAGTGTGTTCATAAGAACACTTACACAACCAGATGGGAAAATAGAATCTTGACACCGTTCCCCGAAAGCATCTGCTCCTGATGTAAATCTCACCTCAAAACCCTAAAACATATATCTTGCGAGTCTCCGATTCTCAGCTGCTCTTCTCGCCGACCTGTCCGCAAACCACTGCATTGTCTCTGTTGCAAGGGCAAATTTCATGAGAACGTACTTCTCAGGCTCACTCATAGAAACAGTACGTAATATCAAAGTCTTGACAGTCTTCAGCTCTCTGATGTGATCTCCCAAGAGTGAAACTAAGTCCACTTCGAAACTCCAATATTTATTTTCATCTGGATGAATGTTCAAGGTGATTTGTTGCATTCCTGGGCAAAATTGGTTGATAAATTTGACGCAAATTTGTAAGCTCATTCGCATATCATCTGGCTGGGGAGAGACATTATGACCTCTAATCAAAGGGTTTACAGTGGTCCTGATCATCCCAGTAAAATGAATTGTTTTCAAAAGCGCTGCATTTTTCAAACCTATAGTTTGAAGAAATCGAAGAAATGGGTCGTAGTACAGCCAACTCATTCGGTCTACCGTGGAAGGATCCTGAATTTGGGAAATGCCTTTGCCAATTTCATGATTCCAATCATCGAGAGAAAGGAAATTTGGATCAGACTTCTCAAATTTCACATTCTGATATCGTTTTCTGGGTTTATTTCCATCTAACATGCACCCGCTGTCAACACCCAAAGATTGAATGTTGGATTTATATGTAGTGAAAGTAAAACTGTTGTCTCTGTAAAGTAGGGCTGAACAAAGATTGTAAAAGTCTTTACAGACAGGTAGACAACTTGTGTCGATGAAACGATCGTCAACTAGATGATGCATTTTTAACAACTCCTGACTGCCTGTTTCGGGCTTGCAAAAACTGTGGGCTTTTACTCGGACCTGAGGTAAATACCGCGAGTGATACCAGGGATCAGATTGGCATATAGGACCAATATATTCGGAATGATGAACACAGTAGTCTGGTTCTCGATAGAGAGCGGGTCCGTCGAGGTTACAAGTAATTGTGTCTGAGACCAAGGAACCTTGTTCTTCTTCTTCAACGAGAATGAAACTAAGGATTTTGTTGATAATCTCTATATGCAACACATAAGTCAGCCATGAAAAACCACAAATGAAAACACATCTTGCGGGTACATTATCGCTAAGTAGATTTCCAGTGCTTTTACATACCTTTTGGAAATTTCGGGATATGATGAGGGTGCGACGTAGGATGATTCCAAGAATCTCCAGGGTCTAGACCAAGCAACCGACGAGAACGTAACATCAAGTTAGAAGTTCTATCGACTTCATTGAGCCGCGGTGCTTTACGATAATCCGAGTTGAGAAAGAAAGTGACTAACTCGCCACGTAGCCGTCGTTTATTATAATGGAGTCTTGTATCTAGGGTACTTGTCAGCAGAGAGGTTTGTACGAGGTAGAAATTTACATACTGGTGTCAAAAATACACCGATGACCAGTCTTCTGGAACTCTATATCCCTGATTGAGTTTTCGATAGTGTATTTCGCAAAAGCATCTTCGGAGCTGTCATCCGGGTATTATTTTTTAGCTGCTCTCTTGATCACATCTATATTCGTCAAGTTTGTTGATGGTTCTTCATCAGATTCAGAGCTAGAACATGGTGTGCCCCTATTGCCGAAAAGAAGGAAATTCATACTCGATCTTGAGAAAGGGTATATTTTGGTAGTCGATGATGTATGAAGAAGTAGAACTGCCTTTGTGATTTCCGAAGACATTCAATCTTATATCTTCAAGATCTGCTCAGCTGTTTTTTGGTGCCGTACTCAGCAACACATGTACTGCTTTTCTCTAGGGGATTCATGAAGGTATGTAGGTCATTCTAATTAAATTGCTTGATACGTCATAATCATTGATACGACACAATCACCAACGTATTATTTACATTTAACGTTGCCAAACACTAGTGGCCGTGTTGTGGTACAAGTCTATATGAGCAAGTGAACTCAAGCTAGCGCGCGAGTGCGTTGCATACTCATACCTAGCTCTCGTAGCTCTGAATCTGGAGTAGAGCACACAATATCAAGGAACGCATCAGAGCTATAATGAAGACTTCATAGTCGCCACCGATGTGATACCAACAGATACCAACATTTACATCCACAATCTAACAAAAACGTAACAGAAGGATCGATATCCGCGGCATTCAACTCGTTGTTCCCTGTTCACCAATAGATGTCTTCGGTGATTATCAGTCTTAGCAAATCACATGCGGTGGGTTCCGAAGAATGTAGACTCAAGACATAAAAGGAGATTTCAAATGATTGAAACCACTCTAGAGGGTCACTGTCATAAATATGGGGCACAGTAAACTCATCAGAATAGCTTTATTGCTAAGTCTTTGATCAAGAGATGAGCCAATTCGTCTGTGCATTCATAAAAACTTGTCTTCTAAGAATGAGAGGGCGAAAACATAGAAATTCAGATGGAAGGATGCTTTGCAATGATTTCGATTGAGCTCAAAAGTCTACAAGGAGTTATTTGCTTCACGAGAAGTCATCTTTGTCAGATATTCTTTATTGCAAGCCAATAGCTTTTCAACTTGAATTGTTAGAGTTTTATTCCGAGTAGCCAATTCTGTATTTGATACACTGTTCAGTCTAAATAATTGTTCCTTGATAGCCTGAAATAATCTTGAGAAAAAGAGGAACAAGATCCTTTGCACGCGAAGTAACACATTTGCTTACATTGGTCGATGATCAAGTGCTGCCTTTGATACTCTTTTCTCGCCTTGAAGATGACTGGCTAACATAGTACGAACACTATCCTGAGTCCATCAACACATATTTCCTCCAGATTCAATCACCACTCCATTAGTCAACCCACTTCGCTTCGACGCACTTTTATTAGGATACATGAAAGCGAAAGATTCCTGGGGCAGTAGCATCCAGTTTAAAAGAGACCGATGTGGAGCACCATAAGCTTCTAGAATCTCCCAAAATCTTCATATCCAAGCTTCTCGAAATTTGAACCTGATGCCAACTCGGTACAGGAAATTTTAATCCTTTTCCCTTCTTCGACGCCGTCCATATGCCAGACTTAGTCACCGTGCTTCAACCCCTCAAGTGCGATTTTTTACATACTTCGCCGGAGTATGTACAGCTGTACCAGCCATAATCTTGTTATTGTAAGTTTTGACAACCGGGCGTGCTCGTTGACTTCGTCTCTTGACAGTTCCAGGCTCCCTGTCCGATGATTCGGCATCTGATCTAGCAGGTGAACTGACTCGATCTTCCATCGCTTCTTGAGGCTGTTTGGGTGACAATCTTGGTTGTCGGGCCGTGTTCTCTGAAGCATTGCTATCACTTTGATCCTCTTCTCTGGAAGATACAGCTCTCCTGGCTAAAGCTCTGTCATTATATGTTTTGACTTTTCTGCGTATTCGCTGACTTCGTCTATCTGTACTCTCAGGCGTCTCATCTGTTGGATTAGGCGCAGGTATACTCATTGCCTTTCGCTTTCTGATGGTTGTCTTCTCCTTTGCCTCTGTCTCCTCCCTTTCCCTGACTTCCTTCGGTAGAAGTCTGAACATCTTTTTCTGAACACTTTCCGAGACTGGACTATCTCCCCAACCAATACCATTGGCAAAATGCAATTGCTCATCAGTTGGTTTACAATCTAAATCACACTCTTTGACTGATGGCTCAATCCAAATTCCATGATGAACACACTTTTTCGCGTTGGCTCTTGCAGCCTCTTTGCCCAGAATAGCTCTTTTAGAAGTCATTCCATTGGTTTGACTGGATTCTCCATCGCTTGAAGAAGCGTCATGGCTCTGCGCTGTATGGTCTGAGATCTCATTGATATCTTGCGACTTCGAAGGTTCGATAAGTCGCACCATCGTGCTGTAACTTGGATTTGATAGATATTTCAGCCAAACCTGAATTTTCGTAGTGGAAAAGGTTTAAGGTTCGCTGTAGATTTATTAGATATATGGATTGAATCTGCATCCTATGTGGAGCACTTGTAATTGTGGATTCAAACTTACCAAGAGCCAAAGTAAATAGAGGTTGATAACCTTCTGTTATCATGCATGGTGATTAAATCTCTATCCATTTCCTTCTGACTTCACCTGATAAGAATACACGATTCAATGCGATGATTTAATCTAGTAACTTGGTTGTATCTTTCGAGTTTCAATTTGTCGAGATTTCTTAGCAAAGAACTTGGCAATGATGTTGTCGCGAAGGAATTTTTATCACTTAGAACAATACGAGAGTGACTTTGACCTTGAAAAGGAAGCTACTTTCTGATATGAAAAAACTTTGAGTCTCGGGACCCTTCCATTTTGGGTCAAGCTACGTGCATGTGGCATCCATTAGCGAGATAAATAAGCCTTGGCAGTTTATTTGTGCTTCTTGCTCTGGATTCACATGTATTATTCTTTTTGTGAAATTCATTCCATTCATATCGTCTCGAGAATGTGCTAGCTGCCAACAAATGCCCACAATTATTTTCTCCTTATTCACATTTATTTATTAGTCATAGCGAGATAGAACCGAAAAAAATTGTTCAAGACATTTCGATACATGAGAATGAGACATGTATGGAACAGAATAAAGAAGAGCATGTCACAACACACACAGTTCCCAAGATTGTGACCACAAATTCAAATATTCTTCGTTTTTTTAAATCACAGAGTTACTCTCTTAAACATTATACTGAAGACTCATCCTGTAGGTTGAGTATTACTACCCATGACAATGTATTACTGGATTTAATCTACTTTGTGTCCTGTATATTTAGAAACAAAATCCTCAGAAGTCCACTGATCTGCCGTTGAACCCACACTTTTGCTTTCCACAGTGCTTATACACAAAGAATACTTATTAAAGTCCTAAAATGCTGACTAGAGATCTGAGTGGCATGATTTTGTTGTACCAAAGCGTCCATGCTGAACTTTTACCAAGGCATATCCAAAGCAGTCATGACTCTTCTTCTCCTAGGGAGTTTCTGCCTCTCAATCTCCTCATGTTCCCATTTATCGGCTCTCTCTTTGAACCACCGAGTAACCTTCCTTTCCAGTTCTATTACTCTCCTACGATGAAGTTCAGGAAAAGTGTGAGTTATCTTAAATGGACCAGGCTCAACGATAGTGTAGTTTGGTTCAGCTTCCTTCCATTGATAGACTTCAAGAAGACGAACCGTCTTCAGTGTTTTCAACAGCTTAGTGAGAGCTTCAAATTTGTCACTGGCCCTTGATTGTGCGAGAGAAATTGGAAAGTATACTTTATCTTCTCCAATGCCAATCACCATCTCTTGGAGACTGGTACAGAACCTGTTGATTACCGGAATGTATAAGCAAAGACTCTCATACAAGTCATCTTCGCAATCCAATCCACGTTCAAGATCTCCACATTTATGTGTAACGATTCTTCCGCGAAAATGTAACTTTTTGATCATAGCAGCTTTGGTTGGACCAATGGCGCGTAAGAATCGGATGAAGTGATCGTGGTAGAGATAATCTTCAAGATCATATGTTGAAAACTTCTTTTCAATTGCCCGAAATGCCATCGCAAAGCAACCATTAGGGTTAGAGCCATATGTCAAGCATCTTCGAGTAAATGGTTTCAGTGTCACATTGTCCTTGTGTACTTTCCCAAAGGCCAGATATCCTGGACATCCAGCACTGTGAACCTGTGTCATAGAGAACTGAAATATATTCTTCTCATACAACATTCTTGTCCCTTGAACTGAAATGGTCTTGCAAACTCGAAGTATTGTTGCATCTATCATTGGACGATAAACTTTATGAAGCATGAAGTATGCGCCCTTTGAATCATGATGCTTCTTGGTGATGATAGTGCTCAATAGAACTGGATGGTCGGAATCTTCGCTGTTGGAAAAGTCTGGTGGTTCATATCTCTTGCCGTCTAACGTGTACGAATGTGACATTTTATATGCACTTCTTTTGTTGCTTAAGGTGACATCAGGTGTAATAGTATAGTCTTTGATGACCAAGGTGAAGCCCAAGATGAGATCGAGAATTTCTGTAAACGATAGGATTAGTATTCAATGCTTCTATGTTTTGAGCGATAACATACCTTGAGGAAAGTTTAGTAGGTGATATGGATGGCTTCGAGGCAGATTCCATTGTCCTTCACTCATGTGTCTGACTAAACCTGAGTTTGGTTTCATTCTATCAACGTAAGATAGAGATGTGATCTTCATGGTTGAGACATAATAGCAATAGTAATGGTACCATTCTTCCTTGTACTCAGGGATTTTTTTGTCGTAGTAGTCAATGTCTAATGCAATTTCAGTAAGTATGGTCATCAAAATCAAACCCTAGACAAGATTGTAACATACCGGGGCCATAAACATATCTCTCCCTATTTTCCCAGAAGAATTCATCTTCATGAATTATACCCAATCTCCCTTGAGCCGCTTGTTCATTAGCTCTTGATGCCAGGTCTTTCTTGACATCTCGTTCAGTGACAGGTTTCATCCTTAAAAATAGGTCAGAAAAGGTCAGAGGGCCTCTTGACATTTTGCTTCTTTAAATATGCAGAGTGTTGATATGTAGTAGGCAGGAATGATGAGATATTGATTTTGTATTCTTATGGATATGTATTGGAGTTCGTATCAAGCACCTGATTTGAATTCGAGAAAAAGAAGATAGATGAATAAATGAAAGGATGATTATAGAGGTGTGAGATGGAGGAATGCGCAGGAGAGAGGGAGAAAGGGAAATACAGAGAGAAGCTATACATTCAACTAGCTTCCTTGAACCGAAAGTAGTACAGCCTTATATTGGTAGCTAACTATCATACAGTACCTGCAACCGAGAATTCTCAGTACCTTATCTATTGAATAGCAAGAAAGTAGAATATTCTGACAAATTCTAGACTTTTGAGTCCCTACTATTATTCACTCACCGTGACTATTATGTCCAAATTCAATTTCCAAAACTGCAGCAACCCTTCAGATGAATCATGGTAACCTGATAAAAGAGATAACCTGCTAAGAACGATTTTATTTATATATAGAAAATGTGGACAACAGGGCACTCTGGGGTTCTCTCATCACTATGCTCTGGCGAAAAAGTGATGATTAGACTAAGAATGACAATAGAGGATCCAACATAAAGCAGGGAGGATGGAATGCCAATATCAAAAAATAAAATACTAGATATTTATCATGATCTATCCATCAGTACTTAATATCTACTTAGCCCCATCCTTATACACAGTCCCCACATCTCTCCACCAACTATAACAAAAAATAAGGAAAATAAACAGGGTTTTAGTCTCAATATATGCACAACGATATACAAACAAACTTCTAGTAAATTTCACATGTGCTTCTCTTTGTGCTATGCATTTCTTCATCATGCACTCCTCTGTCATACAATTTCTTGCATGCAAACCAATTGTGTTCATTTCCGAGCTAGTTATTTCCAATGCCGGATTTTATGGTGTGAGTATGTATACTTGTTCATATATTCATAGAGCTCTAGATGTTTGTTTGTTTATGAGTCCATTCTTACGAAATTATTCTTGTGACTACAATCACATTCACATTCACAATCACAACCACAATCACAATCACACACTCAAACTCACAATAAAATACCACCCCACCAAAGCAATTCTATTAAAAGTAATAAAACAAGCAACGATCGATTTCAAATCTTTCAAGTGACTACCTATGTACTTCATAATTAAAGTAAGTAAAATACGCAAGCGAAGTGAAATGCGTGACTAAACTAAAAAGTCAAACACCCACCCACCCAGACTTCTTCACAAAGTTCGACTATCTAGCTAACCTCATCAATCATATCCATTAGTCCATTTATCCATCCATGTATCCATTTGTTAATTCCTCATAATCGTAGTGGTATCATATCATAGCACTCATTAAACACCCCTAGCTGTAACTTTCCTATCCTCTGACGTTACACTCATTCGTCATAACAAGCAACCCTTTAGCGAAAACGAAAACTATCCATCTATCCATCCATTCAGTCATGAATTTTATGCTATGCAATCCTGATTATATCCATCCGTTCTTGTTATCAAATCATCTAGTGTACGTAAACGCACTAGATAGATAGCGACACAAGAATTTAAGCATCATCCTCATCATCCACACTGGTAAATTCTTCCTCCCATTCAAATTTTGGCAGAACCATTGATTGACGGTGACTTCTTCGTCGTTGAGATTCTATCGATCACGAACAAACCATTAGCAACTTGAACTTATGTCATAATCACAATAGACAGAGAATAAAAGGAAAGAAAACAAGAGCAAATACATACCAGCCTTCGCAACTCTCTCTCGCGCAAGAGCCATAGCGTCATCCCCCGCATATCCACCTACACCTCTATACTCCGATTGCATGGTGACCGGTCTCTCGTTTTCTGTACCTCCTCCGCCTTCACGTGTATGATCCATACTCATACCCATTCTCTCAGCCGCAGCAGTACCCGCTCCAGTTCCAGCAGCAAATGCACCACTACCACTACCACCTCCACCACCACTCGCGCTCCTCAAAAATCCCTGCATTCCCAATCCCATCCCCTTAAAACTCACACTTGCTCTCCTCAAAAAACTTCCCCGTCTAGATCCTATTCCCATTCCCATTCCCTCACTACTGTTCCCACTGTAACGATCTCTCGCTGTACCTCTATGATTGATGCCCATACCCATACCCATTCCCGCATCGCCAAGTCCTCCATGTATAGCTGGATCTTGGTTGTTATTTCCGAAACCCATGACGCCGATGCCGCCAAGGCTAGCGAAATTGAAGCCGTTGATTGGGGCGGTCCATGAACGGCGAAACCCCCGACGCTTGGAGCTAAGAGAGGTGGAGGCAATGTATGTTGGAGAGACAGTAGGTGGAGTGCCGGTGGCGATAGTTGTTGGTTCGACGGGATGGGAGAGCAGGGGGTTTTCGTGGAGGCTGGGGGAGAAGTGTTAGTTTTGGAGGTTTCAAGGGATGAATTATGGGTGTGAAAAAGTGGCTTCAATAGCTTCAAGAACGGTAGAAAAACTTGAAAACCAAAAAGGATAAAAAAAAAACTCACAGATCTTGCTTCTCTCTCTCTTTTCTCTCTTTCTCCAGTCTTTCCTTTCTCTCTTCTTCACTCTCACCAACTTCCTCTTCATCTTGACTTTCATCTTCACTTTCACCGGCTTCCTTATTACCATCTCGTCCTCGTCCTCGTCCCTCAAATTGATCTTTCCAATCAATGCATTCTTGTCGATTGACAATACATGCACCAGTGCCAATATCCTCGATATGGCGTCCGTAAGGTACGACTTCCAAACCTGTATTACCAACCACAATCGTCATTGGGACCGGTTTTCTCGGAATAGTAAAAGCGCGTTCTCTTCCTTGCATATTCACACCAGAAGCACCAAGTCCAGCAGCATTCAATCTTGGAGTATTGACACCCGAACCCGAACCCGATCCATGAATCGCAACAGCACCATGATCCACACCTCGATAATTGTGCACGCGAGATCCTGAGGCTGTGACGATGGGAGTCTGCATGTTGATACTTCCGGGACTTTCGCTTCGCTCATGCGTAATCGTAGCATTTACTCCTGTACGAGCTACGCTACCATTACCACCACTGCCACCAGAACCAATTCCAGAACTGGGAAAAGCATCAAACATACCCAATCCATCGACTGGACTAATTTCCTCACTCTGACTTGTGCTTCCTTCAGCACTTCCTTCTGCACTATCATCTCCATCACTATTGACAATCGCAGCAGTGCCACCGCCCACACCATCACCAAACCTCCTAACCTCCACCGTCCTCAAATTCGGCGTCGGTGGCAAATTCTCGCTCGGATTCGTGTAAGTCGAGCTTGTAGTGACTAGCGGATTATAACTATTTCCACTCTTGCTTGTGCTTGTTTCCTTACTATTTGCACTTCTCTGGGTATTTTTGCTGGAAGTTTTCGTAAGGGCTATGGTTGAGGATGGTGGGATGATTGTGTTTGAAGTCAATTTGTCGGTTGTGGTAGTGTGAGTGGTGTGATTTGCATCAACCGTCGCAGCTGAACCTGTGTTTGGATTTTGATTTTCAACTCCACTTGGGATACCAATGTGTTCATGATCAGCCGATTCCAATCCTATTTCCGCACCAGGACCCAAGCCAAGACCAATAGACTGAGTTTGATCTGCAGTAGCAGTAGGAGCAGGCGCTGATCTTACAGCAGGGAATAAGCGTCTTGGTTGAACCTGCTGAACTTGCTGAACTTGCTGAACTTGCTGAACTTGCTGAACTTGCTGAACTTGCTGAACTTGTTGAAAACTTTGACGAACAGTCAAACCACGCTCGCGATGGCGTTTCGGACTATTAGAGAGATTATTCGCCGCGCTTTCCCAGACATTTTCGGCTACGCCAGCGGCGGATTTGAAGAAAGAGGAGAAGTGATGGGACATTTTGATTTTGATGGTTATAAGTTCGAGTTAAAAGAGGTAAGTATTGGTTAGAATTCGATTGATTGATTGATAGTTCGAACTTGAAAGATATTTGTTTGATGGTTCTTCAAGATGGTGATTCGACTCGACTCGACTTGATGCGACGGAAAGCTGATGCTGATTGATAGATGTTGTTGAAGCTTACTTAAAGCCCAGTCGCAGTTTTTCTCTCACTTTCCCTATTCAACAAACTTGAATCTGATCAACTGAGTAGGTAGTTATCAAATAAACCAGACTCTTTTCATCTGCGTCTTCAAATTATCCTTTCATCCAGCCCTTAATTTGCCTGGCCACAATCTCCCAATCTTTCAATTTTCAAGCTTCTTCAGCTCCTCTCAAATCCAATCAACTCTCTAAATCAATCCACTAATCCCTCAACTGTACAGGCTTCACACAAAAAAACTTAAAGTCCCTTTCATACAATACACCCAAGAGGTAATTCGTGTTGTTCTTCGTTCGTCGTTGTTTTCTCGCCCAAATTGAAAGAAGTGAGTAAAGTGACTGTAAAGAAGTTAAAGAGTTGAGTATTATCAAGAAGTCGAGTTGAGTCGAACGCAGTCGAATGCAGTCGTCAAATAAAATAAAATCAACAATGCTTACAAGCCTTTATAACTCTTCAGTTCACTTCTCACAGTTCACCGTTCCGAGTTCTCAATTCTTAAAAAAAACACAAAAAAAGTCAAGATAAAGTAAAAGAAAATTTGAAGAAAAGTCTTTCGGTGAGTTCGTCCAATAATTGGATAAAGTCGAATTCATTCAAAGTTGAAGTTGATTCAAATCAAGTGAATTTGATCAAATCCAATCCAATCCAATCCAATCCAATCCAATCCAAGATGAGTTAACTATCCATACATACCAATATTGAACAAACCATTTAAATCTTTATCTTTAATCTCATAATCCAGCAATTCTCAGTCCACTGATTTTAGAAAAACTAGATCTCAAATATGAAGCAAAATTTGTTCTATCATCACAGAGACAAATACTTAAATGTTCAAATCTCATCAAGTCAAATCAATTTCCATCTCAACAATACAACACAATGAATTATTTCTCCCAATTTGCTTTTCTCAAGTGATCTGTCATCTCATTCTCATTTTCAATCTTACAATCTACAAGAACTCAAGAATCTCAGAACCCAAAAATCCGATTATCCAATAGCAGTGAATAAAACTTTGAATTTTCTGTTATTTTCTGTTATTTTGATTTATTTTATCTATCTTTTTGTTCTTTCAAAAAAAAAAAAAGAGAAAAAAGGGGGTTAGTTCTTTAATAATTTCTCGCATTAACAAACCCAATTTCAAGTGGAAAATTCCAGTTTAGTGAAATGAAGTATGAGATTTAGTATTCAATATTTAAAAGCCGGTACAAAATCCAATATAAAATCCAATACAAGATATAAAATCAAAAATCAAGAATCAAACTCCCTATAGAGCAGCGAGGAGGTCAAGATTCAAGAGACCGTCAAAAACAATCAGAAGCATTCAACCTCCGAGTTTCATTGACCATTCCTTATAGGTAGAGAATCAGATAACATAACAATAACCATATCAATTTCATACTGTGTTGAACAATCATACTTGAGTCCCGTCCAGTACATACATACATATATACACATAAAAAGACATAAAAAGACATAAACCGACAAAAAATTCAAAACAAACACTTCACAAACCCATAAACTAATAAATCAATAACTCAATAAACCAAACCAACCCAAACCACCCCATCAATCAATCAATCAATCAATCCCCCATAGCATCCTCAAAAAGTCCTCTCAACTGTTCCCTCTCCTCCCCCACCTCCTCGGCCAAATTCGGCGCCAACATCAGGACTCTCTTCTGGGGCAAAGTGCCCTCAATCAACCCATCAATATGTTCCCTCTTGAAGCCCAAATCCTTCAACCCCCTCGGCTGATCACCCAACTCCTCGAGAAACTTCTCCAACGCTTCTGCCAAGACCGCACCCGCACTTTCCTTCTTCACATTCGAGATATCGACACCGAAACATTCGGCGGCTTGGAGATGGCGTTCCGGGTTCGAGGCTCCGGTGAAGCGGAAGACGGCGGGCGCGGAAACGGCAACGGATACGCCGTGGGGAATGATGGGGGTTTTGGTTACGTAGCCTGGGTGCGTGTAGCCGGGATTTTGTCCGGATATTGGGTAGGACATTCCTGGGTGTGTTAGTATATACTTTATGAAATGAATAGTATGCTGCTAGTTGATGTGGTGTGGTTAATCGCTGATATAACTCAATAGTTATATAGGGGTTTCAACAGTCCAGACTGCAGTCAGGGCCGAAGTACTTTGAACTTGAAGTTTTGACCATGTTTTCACCATCTCATCAAGTCTATTCTTCCAAATAAACTCAATAATCAAAACATCTCCAACCTTCAAACCTCTTCCCTCTAGACTACAATCTGTATTATCCCACACGTAACCACCCAACATCTCCTCGCAAACCCAACCAAGCAAAAACAAAAGCAAAAGCAACAAAAAAAAAAAAAACTCAACATACCATGACACAAATGCACCCCCGCATTACCAAACCCCACACCCGCCAAAGTAGCCGCCAAAAGCATCTGACTCTGCGCCTCATAATCCTCCGGATCTTTCGTCGCACGTGGCAAATACTTCGCCGTACTCTTCAACGCCTGCAGAGAAAATATATCACTAATCGGATTGGCACCCTGGTACGCCGGTCTCATGATAGGATTTTGAGGACGGGGCGTCCTCTCATAATAGGGGATTGCCGTCCAACTTTCCAAACTGTGACAGAGAACGTCTAATCCTGAGCTAGCGTGGACTGCAGACGGCATGGTGCGTGTATTGAGAGGGTCGCATATACCGAGGAGGGGTTTGAGATTTCTGTGCGCGATACCTGTTTTGGCTTTGTGAGAGACGAGATCGAAGATGGCGGTACCGGTTGTTTCGGAGCCGGTTCCGGCGGTGGTGGGAACGGCTATGAGAGGCAAGAGGGTCTTATCTATAGGTCTACCTTTACCAAGGGGTGCGTTTACGAAATCCATAAAATCGGCATCTGGATAACAGGTATATAGGTTCATGAGTTTGGCGGTGTCGATAACTGAGCCACCACCAACTGCTAGAAAAGCATCTGGTTGATAATTCTTGGAGAACTGGATTGCTTCTTTGATACTATTCATCTGTTAGAAAAGGTATTCATTTGAAATACTTGAATTTGCAGGAATTCCATCACGTTTCTGAGATTAACACGCTTACTCCACTTGAAGTTGTGCATTTTCTCTTACTCTTCAACCACACCAACTTAAGAGTGTGAAGAAAGACCAATGGTTGAAAAAAAGAACCCTCCCTCTCCCCAAAAGAGAAACCCAGAAAAACCTACCTCGTATCCTTCGGCTCGACTCTCGTCCCCTCATAAACCTCAAACTCCACTCCCTCCCTCCCAAGACCCTCCCTAACCTGCTTCATCGCCTCTAGCCCCTGCACCACCTTATCCGTCACCACAAGCACCCTCTTACTCCCCAAATTCTTAAAATCCATACCCACCTCCCTCGTCACCCCCGGTCCAAATCGTATCGACGAAGCCGCCATCTCAAACGCATATTCTTTTTCGCGAGTAGGATCCATAGGCGTAGCATAGTTACGCTGGAGATTCCGCTTGGTTTGCGAGAGAAGAGAGGAGCTAGGGTGGTGGTGATGGTGCGAGGGGTTGTTGTGGCAGGGACAGGAGGGCGGGTGCGTGTATTGAATTGTGCGGAGGAGATTCATAGCTCGAGCGGCTTTCTAGAGAGAGGATGTTAGCCCTGCGTTTTTTGGTTCTTTGGTTTGTAGATGAAATGAAATTCAAATGAGAAATTCCCCCTTCAACAGTCCACTCCTTTCGATAATCATGGGGGCAAGCCCCCAAATCCCCAGACCTCGCTGCGCTCGAACTTTCCCATCTCTCATCTGCCAATCTGCCTATCTACCCATTCCCTTTATCTAACATACACCAGTATCTCCCACACAAAGACTCTTACTCCATATAATCACACAACCCTCTCACCTCTCACCCCCTCTCACCCTTCCATCCCCTCCACCCCAAATCAAATCAAAACCACCCCAACAACCAAAAAAAAAGACCACTAACCGTAGGAGCAACCCGTATGGCCGACATCTTTGCAATATCCGTCTTCCTCTCTATCTTTCTCTCTTTCTTCTGTCTCTTCTCTCTCTCTATCTCTTACTATCCTTCAAGTTCCTATATGTCGTTCCGTTCCGTCTGGTTTCCTTTCCTCTCGTTCGTTTCCTCTCGTTTGTTTCGTTCTTATCCTCTCGTTCTTATCCTATCCCCTATTTCCAATTCCCTATTTTAACTGCTTTCCTTATTTCTTTCCTTTCTTTCTCTTCCTTCCTTTCAATTCTTTCTTTCTTTCAATTCTTCTTTCCTTCCCTCCCTTTATATACCTACTTACTCGTCCTATCCCGTCCCGTCCCGTCCCGTCCTCTCTTCGTATTCTCGTTGTATTATTCCTTCCTTCTCTTCTCCCTTCTCTCTCTTCCCAAACTCTTATTTCAGCACCCTACCCTAGTCTCTCAATCGAATCTCAATCAATCCTCAAATCCTCAAATTCTCAATCCAATCCAATCCAATCCAATCCACTCCAGTCCAGTCCAGTCCCTCTCAAATATCCACACAACTCACAACTCGCAACTCACAATAAGAAACCAAAACGAAACAAAACAAGCCTATGTAATTCGTAGTTCGTAATTCGCAGTTCGCAGTTCACAATTTGTAAACCAGAGAGTAATCTCTCAATCTCTCAATCTCTCAGTCTCTCAACTCAACTTCAATACAATTCAAAAACAACTCAAAAACAACAACAACAAAACTCAACACGTATCCATACACCACGTATCCATATGTCCACACCAGTCCACACCAAACCAAACCATAAATGACGTTTCGATTCACACCCCCAATCCCATCCCATCCCCCCCAAAAGGCGGGGAAAGCTTCCCCACCCATGTCCGCCGAGCCGAACCGACCGACCGACCTCGGATATCCATATGTTCCCTACTGACCACCTACCCAGTCAAGTTAGTCATGAAGAATCTAACTCGATATAGTAAGTACCCTTTTAGAAGATTTTAGAACAAGCAGTCAATCAATCAGATGAACATTCATCAATAAAGCATTGAAAACACATTTAATCATTTACCGGTGAATTAGAACCACTTAAGATAAGAGTAGAGTAGAGTGTCTTTTTTTCATAATTTAGATAGATATATCATATGTAGATAGTTAATTGATAATATGTATTCCTCATTGGCCCTACACATTCCATATCCATTGCCACCCTCCCATACCTATCCATCAACTCTTAAGAACACCAAGGTATCAAATCCAACCATGCGCACTAAACTACCCATCCATCCATTCAATTTATGACCCACCCTCCCCTTGTTCCCAAAGCACCTCTGGGGATAAATAAATAAATAAATACAAGACGAGATGCGCCAAAAAAAAAAAAGAAGAAAGAGAAATTCAGATGGCCTCATTTGACATCCTGTGAAGGATCAATCCGATAAAAAACAATCATGATGAAATGATTCAATCAACCTTCAACTCCATCCGATGATTATAAAAATAAAAATAAAATCGACGCGCACTTCGCTATGTATCTCCAAGCTATACAACATATCTTATAATCGTCTCGTAAATGACGCATAATGCATCAATTGTTCGAAACGTAACTTCTTGAAGAATCCGGTCTCCATGTTCGCTTCGTATGTTGACGTAAATTAATTACCTACCCCATCGACTACCTCTTCGACTACTTGCGCCAGACTCTCCTCCTCTACTTGCTTCGTATCCTCTAGCTTCATCAATGCTTCTTCGATCTCGTCCAATCTCACTCATGTCGAAGAGTAATGGCTCATCATCTGGTTCATATTGTCCCCTGCTAAAACTGTACCTGCCGCCACTAGCTCGTTCACTACCACTTCCACTTCCTCTGTCTACTAGGAGGCTAGAGAAAGAACCGGTTTGTGGTGGGGTGACTCCACGGCCACCAGTTTTCCCAATACGTGGTCGATATGGTGAGTTTGCAGAACCTGGACCACTGAATCGAGAAACTTGAGGAACATCTGGATCATGAGCTTCCAAAGATGATGAGGCTTGACGAGACATGGCAGTAGTACCTTCAGAGATTCGAGGAGCAGGTTGGAGTTGGGATGAAGATTGTCCAGTTGGTGATTCTACCTCCTCAGAGGCTTGTCCAATGTTCAAGAGTGCACTCAGACTTGGTGGCTCCCGATCATCGGCTCCTAAGCTTATACTTCTATGCACCCCAAATGGAAGATCACCCAATTCATCATCGATTGCCAATGATCTATGTTGCTGAGCAACAGAACTTGATCTTCGAGCGTGGGGGTAGTACGGTCTAGGTGAGGTGGGGATATCGATAGCATTTGTTCCAGCATCATTTGGATGATCACTATCTTCCACATCATCTAATCTTGCTTCTGAAGTCCTACTTCGTCGACTTGGTCTTCGTGGTTGATCGTACTCAGCTATTGAATTTGCACTTAATCGTGAAGGGATGGCGGGAGTGTGAGGAGTGTGTGGGGAGATGGGTTTACCGGGGGATGATCCTGCTGAAATTGAGGTAGCAGCAACCATAGGAGGTACACTAGATAATTGTCGACTCGAAGAACTTGATGATCTTTGTAGCATTGTTGATGAAGCCAGAGAATCTGTCAAAGCATTATGTGAATCGCGCATTGATTGAAATCTGGATAATTGTGCAGTGGCTCTCTTTCTTGATGCTTCTCCAGAAGGTTCGAAACTCTGCAAGGTTTTCTTACTTTCCAAGAGTTTCAGAAAATCCGATATATTGTCATCATCAGTTTGTAAAGATCCCGAACTACCACCTGTTCCAGCTTCTGCAAGAATACCAGAACCTGGTTGCACAGAAGATGAGAGACTTTGTTTACCGCTGCTACCCTGATCATCTTCTACTGTTTTACTAGCTCCTCCATAAGATGATCTGCCACGACGATGACTAAAACTACTGCTGTATCGAATCGGAGCAGGTTTCGGTGAGCTTGAGACAGATGTGGGAACCATATTATCTGCGGCCATTGGGCCCCCTCTCAACGTAGCTGGCATTCCAGCTATGAGAGATGAACGATTTCTGGCTTGTGCAAGTGCACTAATTCCAGATGGCCTTGGCAAGGACCCTGGAGATGCAGGTAAGGTTTCACCGGCATAAGTAGCACGGCTGGGAGATGAAGACAGGGAGCCAGCTTTGAATGGCTGAAACGATAATGATGGTCTTCTCGCCATCGCGATACCTTCCAATGACTTTATCGAACCTTTCGATCCGAGTAATGGGCGTGATTGTGGTAAAGATCCCATGGGCGGGGAGCTCGTATCTGATCCTATGGGCCTCTGAGCTCTCAAGGCGGATATTGGGCTCGAGCCTCCTGGGGGAGCGTTTCCGTGGAATGTTGATAAACTTCCATATGTTTGAACTGGACCAGAATCATCGGTAAGTTGTTTGTGTGCTGGAAGGGAGCCAATTTCCGGCTGCTTTGTTGACCTTCGACGACTTAAATCACCTCTTGCTGCCAATGAAGGAGTGAAGAAGTGTTCGTCTGCACCCATGAATCGAGAGCTGAGAAGAGATTCAGAATCATCAACACGAAAGTTACAATCATTTCGATATGTTACTTCGGCGAAAATTGGACCGGCAGGAGTTTCAGTGGTTCCCAGGTTATGCGTCGAGGTGACTGGACCACTGTGGTCGAATATAGGTTGCTTAAGGCCATCGATTCGACGTGGTTGAGTATTACCGGTTGTGATACGACAATTAACAATCAATGAATTTGTTGGCGCTCCACTCTTTCCTATGTTCTTTTTGAATTTCTGGGCCGGCAATAATTTGGATGCTGAATACAATGCGCGAAAGAAAACAACACACTGTTTGTAGAGAAGGGGTAAAGTAGGAGCAAAATTATTGGGCTGCTCTCCGGGTATATCTCCGAGCTCAATTCTCCAACGTTCTAGTATGACTTCGCTATGTTCATCATGGGAACTACTAGAATCACTTAGAGCATCCAAAGCATCCCATCGCTTTCCCAAATCATCTACGATAACCAATCTCTGACTTTTCGTCAAGTGGGAAGTATCGATGTATGTTTCTATTATAAGTGGTGGTGGTCGATTCTGAAAGCCACCGCACGTTCGCCATGTGTTGAGCTCATCTCGATATGCATCGGTATCATCGGTTTCGATTTGAAACTATTGGAGGGGAGAAACGTTAGTTGATGACCACAGCACAGGCAACGAATGATAGAAAGGACATACCCATTTGCTCACTTTCACGGTTCCATCTCTGTTGAGGACTACAGGAAGTCCTACTCGCGATCCCAGTAAGATAATTGCAGCTTTCGTGTGGAAATTCTGGAGAAGTCAGGTTAGCTTCGTTTCGAATGGAGGTCAAGCATGTGTGATGATTGAGCATCACTGACTGATATGATTTGATCCATTCTCTTGACCGCTTCTCGACTTGGGCCAGTAGCAACCATGGATCCACCATCTCCACCTGCATCGTCTGCTTCTTGATAATGTGGCATATCTGATAGTGTTCTCGAATGGGCAGATCGACCGTCTTCTCTAGGGTTGTTTGTTCGAGTTGGATTTGTGTGTGGTGACGAGGCTGGTGAGGCCGTCCTAGGTGAAGGACGAGGATGTTGATGCATTATATGATAATTGCTGACGTAGATGTTGAATCGTAGCACGCTGTCGGTTCAGCAGCAAATGCAAGATGCGCTGGTATTTGCAGAAAGATAATGCTCCTACTCAAGTCTCACACATCAACAATCGTGATTCTAGATGGTAAATAAAGCGGTTCCCAGATACCACATAACTTGGGCATCCATCGTAGTATGATCTAGTGAAATTTTCGAGGGTTCTAGAGTTTTGAAATCTCTAGATATAGTACAGGACCAAGAATATGGAGGTCGGTATTGGATATCCTCCCAGGCAGTGAAGTGGGAGAGAAGGTGGTTGTTGGGTTTGGGGGGGGGGGGGAGGGGGGAAGAGAGAGATGCTTGAAGTGGGTACTGAATTTCACGCAACAGACATGATTGCGAATAAGGGCTTTCAGTAAGGCGTAAGATGGAATGATGAATCGAGTGAATCGGATGGATCAAATTGGAGAATATTAAAAGGACTTTGCAGTATTGATTGATGAAATGATTGCGCTCAAATAAGTTGACGTTGGAGTGGATGAAAATAAATTAACGAAATTGAGAATTGAGAAAGTGGTAAAAGTAAAGTTGACGGTAGAAGTGATTGATGGTGGTACAAGGAGGTTGAAGCTCAGATGGCGATTAAGAGAGAGTAAGAGAGCGATGGAGACTGGGGCTGGGAGCAAGAGAGTCATGCAGGTTTTTGAGGGTGGGTACTATGACTGAACTGTAATTGATTGACTTAGTAGTGACCTACTAGATAGTACTGACCCCGTACATACAGGACTAGTCGTTTTGATGATAGAATTGAGCCTTGTGATTTGAAGGTATGGGAGAGATAAAAACGAAGGAGGAGGAGGGAGGTATGATAACAGTAGTATCGCTAGGAGGATGAGGAGTAGGGAGTAGGACAAGATGGAATTAATAAAGTTTATTAATCTTTTACTTCAAAGTTTGAGGATTGAAGAGGTGAGGTAAAACATTACTAAGACAATTGGGAGAGGATCAAAAGAAAATATGAAGATATAATTATTTAATTTATGTTGATACGTCGATGGAATTATGTACTTGATTGGTATGGGTGGTATGAGTATGATAGTATGAATACCTAGTAGTATGTATGAATAGTATAAATATATGATGAAACAATGAAAACTGTCTAGTCACTCCCTACCCTACCCTGCTAAGCCAAAGATCTCGAGCGTGGAAGTGAAGGCTGTTCTTTTAGAATACTCTAGAGGTCTGTGTTAAGTGAAGTTCTTGTGCTTGGAAGCACTCTAGTTACAACTTCATTCATGCTTTTATGTTCTGCTATCTATCTAGTATCTATCTATCTATACAATATACAATATACCTACTACATATATCGATGAGGTAGGTAGATAATTCCCATTCCCATGTAACATACTGACAGGAACAATTATAAGCAATTGGCTGGCTGCACTTACCAAACCCCTAGAAGGAACCTACCGTGCGACCTAGTAATTTCATGCTGCATTCAGTTTATGATTCATTCATTCATTCATTCATTCATTCATTCATTCATTGACTTTTCATCCTTTCTCCGATAACGATAACGATGAATCAACTAACCGATAAGAAGAAGAACACCAATAACAACCTTGAACACCAATAAGAATAAGGTCTTGCACAACACAACATCATAGTCTTCCTAGACTTGAGCTAATCCCTTCTACCATGATTGACTACTAGGTATCTATCTGCCTACCACCTCCCTACTAGTATTCCAATCAAGGTTCAGATTACATATATCCAAGTACATCTTATAAGCCGATATCATACTAGGTATCAACACATACACATACACATACACATGCACACATACACATACACACACACGCACGCACGCACGCACACACACGCACACACATTTCCCAACGTCTACCTACATAAAAATCTGCAATCATTGCATACACCACCATGTACTTCCCAGGATAGATGAATCAAACCAAGGTACCAAAAACGAGTAAAAAGGGGGGACCTTCCCATCAAAGTAGTATCAATCAACCACTCCTCTCCCATTTCCTGACCGAGTCACCGGCTCTATCATTGATTCCATCCGATTGAATGATAGAAATAAAAAATGAAAAATGCATCCATGAGTATGGGGGTCAGTTTCCTAGGGTCAGTTGATCCAACAAACATTCTCTCTTTGTCAGTACCGGTAAGCTCATCGATTATCGAGACCAATCATATCATATATCCGAGGGATAGATATCCTACATCTCTCTTTCCAAACTGCAGTGTGCCGTCGAGATGAGATACTAGGTTGAATAGCTAGGTATCATGTAGGTACCTATCTATCTACTCATCTATCGTGTACAAGCACTACTAGTTTATTTGATATGTGTATATGAATGTATACATGAATATGAATTAAACTGATGCATTAACCAAGCACAGAAACAAAATGAGTCAAACTTTATATTCTATACCTGGGTACGTGCCAGAAGAAGAGGCAGGTAAATACTGGCTGGGTAACCTAACAACACGATACACCCGCCGCCACAATATATCAATCAACACAGCCACCCATTTGATTGGCAGTAGAGTGAGTACTCCAGCTTCGTAAATTCATAGATAGTATGATGTCCGGTGCAAGGGATAAGTATTGAATATCAAACTTTCCCGCGAAAAATCAAAATCAAAATCAATCATCCACTTCCTCTAACCCTCTCTCTCACACAAACTCTTTCTTTCGCGTTACTTTCTTCATGATCTTCATATACCTATCTATGTACGAGTAAGTTACGTAGGTAAGAAAAGATACAGCCTCGCCATTCACACAACCACTTCAATCCAATTGGTGATGTGATGGTGTTTACCCATCTATCCATCCATCCATCTCTATCCTAATAAGAGTCAGATTTCGAGTTGACTCCTCGGTGCCTACACTACCCTTTTTCAAAAGTCGAATCGAACGGGGGAGGGATTTGCTTCTCATTGAGTACCTACCTATGTGTATATATATATTTGTTCTATGTAAGATTACTTCCATCTATCGAACATATTCATGAGTACTAGGTTTCATTAATGCAGAGTTAAGTAGAGGGAGAGTCGAGATCGATGGCCCATGTAAGTAAGCCAGTGAGTGAGTGACATGTGATTATATCTATCTATCTATCTATCTACTCCATCCCATATCTTCAATATCATCCATCTACTACTTACCAAGAGAAGAGAAGAGAAGTGTTCGAGTCAGCAATGCAGAGAGTACCTACCTAGGTAATATATGATGAAATGACCCCGAGTATAGTATCTACAGACGTTTTTTTTTTTTCTTTTTTTCTTTGTATTGATTTGAGATTGTTATATATCACCAGTGGGTGCACGGACTCACGGGACAGTCTGTATAACTTCAAAAAACCCAAAATGAGATAATATTATGATTAACATAGTTTAACACTGAATGGACCATATCACCAAGTGGGCCACTTTCACCTCAATTTATATTCTTTATATTCAATATATGTTTTATTAATCATTTATTATAAAATCTATAAATAAAAAAGTATATTTACTTTTAGTTATTAAAGCTTTTCAAAAAGATAAAAAACTAAGTATTTAATAGATTATTCAATTATATAATATACTTTATATAATAATCAGTTATAAAATAAACAATTTACTTCTATATATAGAGATTTGAATGAATTATTATAAAATTATAAAATTGAAAAAAAAAGTGATTATTTAATATATTCTTAATATAAATTCAAAAGGTTTTTTATTTAAATTTAAGAATATAAAAGATATAGTAAATTATATTCTTAAATTAAGGGGTGCGAAATATATTAGAAAGCTTTAAGCATATCAATTCATAAAACATTAAATCGAATTAAAAACACATTTTAATTATATTTATAATTTTCAAAAAGTTTTTTATAAGAATTTTAAATTTCTTAAAAAATGGTTTCAATTAATTACAAATATATAAGCGAAATATAGCATTTTGAATAGAGATTTTTATAATTTTAATAAAACAAGTTTTATAATAAGAATTATATGTGTAGTAATAGTTATTATTAATATTAAAAAATATAATAAAAGTAAATCAGTATAATTAAACAATCAAGAATGGATTATAGTAATAATATATGGAAATAAAGAGAATAAAACTATTCTCTTATTTCTAATAATTCAAAAACAGATTTATTTCTTTAATTAGTATATCAAAACTGATTTTTTTATGAATTAGATTATTAAATCTATATTTAATAAATAAATAAATAATAAAATAAATTTAGAATAATTGAAATATTTCAATAAATATATTAAGAATTGAAGAAAAAGTAAATATTGAATATTAATATTAAATAAATATGAAAATCATAAATCAATAGTTTTTCAAGTATATTATAAAAAGAATAATATTATATATTTATATTTATTATTATATTCAAATTATTTAATTTAATCACTTAATATTAACTATTTTAGTAATCTAAAATGTTTATATAATAATCAAATTGATGAATTTATTAAAATATATATCAATTATATTTCAAAGATTGAATTCTTTATAACTTTTAAAACTATATATAAGAAATTAATTATTTCTTAAAATATAAAATCAGAATTCTAAGAAATAGATTTAATCCTATTTGATTTTAAAACTATACTTTCGAAATTAGATATTCGAATTTATATATCTATCTCCCTCTCTTTCAATTTAAATCAATAAATCTCTTAAATCTCTTATAATCTAATTAAAGCTTTTTCTTAATTAATATTAATTAAATTTCGAATAATTCATTATTAAATAAATTCCCTTATATCTATATTTAAAATTATATTAGTTTTAGTTAAAAATATAAAAAGATTAGTTTATAAAAATATATTTTTAAATATAAAGAATTATATATTTCGGATAGTAAATAAAATATTAAGTAAATATCAATATACAAAAAAAACTTAATTATATTAAAAAGAAATATTTACTAAATAAAAAACTTTTAATATATTATTTTAATAAAAGATTGATATTT